CATGGCCTCTCGTGGGTAGGCCAAGAGGGGCCTGGATCCCCCAGGTCAGGGCCTCATTTGAAAGCTAAAAGAGCCACAGGAAGCCTCACTCAGGAAGTCCCAGAGAGAGGGCTTCCATGAACACACCGGAGTTACAAGCCTGTGGGGCCCTGTGGCACCTGCTGGTGAACAGCAAGGTTGAGGACAAGCCAAGATAGTGAAACCGGAAAGGCAAGGCCAGACACAGAGAGGGCCATGCATGTTGGATGAAAAGCACAAGGATTTTTCAAGCTGTAGGGGAGGGCAGTCCTGAATACTCCTGGCCGTTCCGTAGTGCTGCCCCCAACAGGGCTGCCTCTGGCTCTAACTTGGCACAGCTTCCTCTGTAATGGCTTTTGGCATCATCGCTGCTGCATTTTAGTCTTTGCTAAAAAATCAAGAGTTTTTACAAGCCAGTTGAGACCACGATTCTGCCCCTAAGATTCCATTTCTTCCTGTCCCGAAGATTCTCGTTCTCCCAGCTTTACAAGGCCTGGGCAGGAGGTAGAAGGAGGGGAGGGAATGGGAGCCCTGCGCCCTCTGCTGGCCAGACCTGGCAATGCCAGGGCAGGCGGGAGGCCCAGGGCTGAGCAGGGCCACACCCCCTGTGCCCCACGGCCTCAAAGTCACAACCTCTGCCGGAGGGGTAGGAATAACGGGCACAGCTACCATTCATTATTAAGCGGTTGCTACTTGTCAGGCACTGGTAGGCAGTTTACAGTCATTATCTCGTTTACATTTTGATTCTCCAAGTATTTCTTTCGACAACCCTGAAAGATTGTGTAGGAGGCTGAGAGTCCCCAGCTGGTAAGAACTAACATCTGACTCGGATTCGCTCCAAGCTCTTTCCCAACTGTTGTGCTTTTAGGCTAGCCTCTTACTTGCCCTGACTTGGGTCTTGACTCTGACCCGCACTCTAACCTGGCTTAACCATCCTTCTCTGATCTGAGCCTCAAGCCAAACCCTAGCTTCAGCCTCAAGCTAGTACCCACCCACCTTGCTTCCTGCTCCTGGCTCCTAGTGTTTGCACTGGATCTTTCCTTGGGTTGGATGGTCCTTCTCCCTATGAATCTGATTTCTTCCCAAGCTTGATACTTAATTTCCATCTGTCTCTTGGGAGAGCAGCCAAACTCTCAGAAAGAAAAAGATGAGGTAGGGAGGCCCGAGAAGCCTCTGTGTGTGGGGGGGTGGGTGGGTGGGGGGGTGGGTGTAGCTAACTGGGAACATTGAGGAGGAGTGTACATCTCCAATCTTAGTCAGGCCAGGGTGTCCTGAGGTTAGTGATCCCCGAAGAGACGTGGGTGAGGCCCTAGGTCCTGTGGGAGGGAGAAGAGCTAAGCTAGAAGTCGCTGGGCTCTCAGCAGCAGGGTTTTGTAGGAGAATTACAGCTCACCCCTCTAGGAATCTAGCAGCCCCTCCAAAACTTCTGCCCTCCTCCCACAGCTGCATGGGGGCAGCTCTTCTCCAGAGCACTGGGTGGTCCTTTGTCTTTGGTTGCAGCCCTGAGATGAACACTTGAGCACGCTGGGCAGGCTTGCTGGTGATTCACAAGCTTTGCTCTGCACTACCAGCTTCTTCTCCCTAGGCTACCCCCAATATTGCTTGCAACAGTCATTCTTAAGAAAGGCGGGAGCTTGCCTGGCCTCAGCCGCAGCTGAGGCAGGCCCTTTACTTATCTCCCTAAAAGAACCAGCAAGGCAGGCCTAGGTTTTATTCCATGTGACTTGGGACCCCTGTGATATTATGCAAATCGTCTAGTCTCCCAGAGCCTTGCTTTCCTCATTTTAAAATGGGGTAGTAGTAGCATCTTTCTCATGTACTTGTGAGGATTGATTGAGACAATGCACTTAACCCAGGACCTGGCATAAAATAGCTTCTTAATAAGTCATATCTAATATTTTTAGTTGTTCTATGGACTTCAGTTTCTGATTTGGAAAAATAAGCATAATAACAGTTTAAGCTTCCTAATGTTGTTATAAGAGATAATGAGGTAATGTATGAGATAGCAGTTATGCACGATTCCCTAACAATAGGTGAAAAAATGAGACCTTTTCTCAATTCCTAAATCAGACAATCGTCATCTAAGCTTTTAACCGCCCACCTTACGGAAAATTTAATCTCATTTTATGTTTGCTGGCTTCCTTTCACTCTCTTTTCCCACAGTTTAGCGTCTTGCAAAAAGCCTCTGTCGGTTTTATGTTGAACAGACTATCTGGGCGAGAGGAAGGCCTGGGCTTAGCGACCAATGCTGGGTTATGGGATACGCACCTTGCTCAAGCCAGCGCTCCCCCTAGGTGGCGCTGCTCTGAGGCTCTGTTGCAGGGTCTTGTAGGAGTCTGAGCCAGGGTAATCTTTCTCCCCTTTCCAAAGACTCAATTCATAGTGGTCCCTATTCTGGGCCCCCCGTGAAAGTGGGGTCCAGGCTCTTTTCCTCCACAGAAACCCTGTGATAGGTAGAATTTTGGCTCCGATTACCTTGCCCTCTGGTGTTACTCCTGTGATTATGGCAAAAAAAGGGACCTTGTGGATGTAAGTAAGATTAATAATCAGCTGACCTTAAAGTGGAGAGACTGTCCTGGGTTATCTAGGTGGACCTAATCTAACCACAGGAGCTCTAAAAGGCAGAGATCTTTCTCAGGCTTGTAATAGAAGGGGAAGTAAGAGATATGAAGAATGAGAAAGATTTCACAACAACTTCATTGGCTTGAAGATAAAGGGGTCATGTGTCAAGGAAACAAGGGCCTTAGTTTTACAACTGAAAGGAATTGTATTCTTCTAATAACCTCAATGATCCTGGAAGCAGCTTCTTCCCCAGATCCTCCAGGAAAGAGGCCAACTCACTCAACAGCTTGGTTTTGGCCCAGGAGGCCTTGAACAGAGGGCCCAGTTGTGCCCACTGTGCCGGAATTTCTGCCTCACAGAATTGTGAAATTATAAACGGTTTCTGTTTTAAGCTGTTAAACTCATGTTTATGTGAAACACGTTATGGCCACAAAAGAAAATGAATATAATACTCAAAAATCCATTCTTTTTCTTGGTCTTGGGGAATGTCCTCTCCTCAGGTTCAGAAGCTCCTGCTTCTTCAACTCTAAGCCCTCAAAGACAGTCAGGCACAATTCACTTAGAACCTCTGGTTGTCACAAACAAAAGTTAGGGTAGAGAGTTTCTGAAAATTTCTGTTTTTAACTCTATAATTCAAAAAGCTTTGGGGCACCTGTGTGGCTCAGTTGGCTAAGTGTCTGACTCTTGATCTCAATGCAGGTCTTGATCTCAGGGTTGTGAGTTTGAGGCCCGCGTTGGGCTCTGTGCTGGGCATGGGGCCTACTTAAAAAAAAAAAAAAAAAAAAAAGCTGTCAGTCTAGGAGATACAAAGATTTAGTTACTTTCTTATGATGGGAGGAGGGATGAAATGGACAAAAGCTAAATGAGTATCTCAATAAAGTTTCCTGCCACATATATAAGTACTTAGCTTAGTATTTAATACACAGTAACTAATATTAATATGAACATTCTGCCCATTCTGCCTGACCTGACCTAACTCTATCCAGTTTGATCCGAAATTGTCAAAACAGTGTCTGTCACGCAGTGATGGAAGTCACTCCAGCGCTAGAGGACCCCAGCATGGAGTTGCTGATATTCACGATGTCTTCTGGCAAGCTGCCTCCACCATGAGGAATCCTCCTCATCCTGGAACTGCAGGGGCAGAGCTAGACACACCTCTGGCCCCAGAAGAGTTTTGTTTCTGCATCCAGGACAGGGAAGATGGCCTTGTGTTGTAGACCAGGATTCTATGGGAGTCACAGGAGCCACCTCTTCTAAGAGAGCCTTTTCTTGGAACAGGTGTGCACACTGTGCCAATGGAAAGCTTATTCTCAGCTCCCTAAATCCACCGGGTACCACAAAAATGGCCTGTATAACATACCCACCCATCCTAGCTCAACACAACTTGAGGGCGGAGATGGTAGGAGAATCTCTTAAGAAATCGACGCACATTTCTCCAACATTGGGCCTTTATCTGTTTCAACTCCTATTTCTTTGGTTGCCAAATATCTATCTGAGGACACACGCTGTGTCAGGCACAGTTTTGGCCCTGAGGAGACAGAGATGAACAAGACAGACTGAGTGCCAGCCCTCATATTTTGTGAGGAAGAAATCGCAAACAACCACATCTTTTTAAATGAATTAACGTGTAATGATCCTCGTAGTACCTCCGGAGCCCTGGACTCCAGCCGCAGCCTCAGTTGCTATGGCTAGCTGAGGAAGTTTTGTTCCCAGTCTTTCATGTCTGGGTGCATCTATGTCGCCTGCATCCACCATATCCAAAAGGTTGTTCGGTTTTGAGGACACCACCAGTTCTGAGGGACTGTCTCCATGACTACACATCAGCAGATGCTCCCACTCATCCTGCCCTGACAGCACTGAGGGCCCAACACTTCATTTTCTTGTACTACCTGTAAGAATCATTCTTGATATTCGGTAATTGATGATTTAGCATCGTGAAATCATGGGCCAACCTGATCGCCAGAGTTGTTTACATCTCCTCTATGGTCTTGCTTTCATGGGTTCTTGAAAATCATATTACAAGCTCTCCAAGCACAAGCTCCCAAATCTTTGCTCCCTGCCCAGTAGGGGATGTCCCCACCTAAAACCTTTCCAGCACTTGTGTAGTAAGAGTTTTTTTGCCCATGTTTTTCCCTTGTTCCTTCTCCTTTCTTACCACCATGGTGCTTCCCTGTGTGGCCCTGCATGGGGAGGGGTGCTCCTTCCTCTTGGGGACTGTAAATTCTTTTTTTTTTTAAGATTTTATTTATTTATTTGACAGAGACAGTGAGGGGGGAACACAAGCAGGGCGAGTGGGAGAGGGAGAAGCAGGCTTCCCGCCGAGCAGGGAGCCCGATACGGGACTTGATCCCAGGACCCTGGGATCATGCCCTGAGCTGAAGGCAGACGCTTAAGGACTGAGCCACCCAGGTGCCCCAGTAATAAATTCTTCTTTCAATGACATTGACCTCTATGTGTCATCACTCAGTCATATTGATAAATTAAATCCAAGGTACATTTTAAAATGCCACCTGGCACAGCTTAGACCAAAGACTGGCCAGGCCCTGGAGGAGCTAAAGTTGTGACCAGGGTGAATGTGATTCGGAGATGATACCAGATTCCTCCCCAGAGACCCCACAATACTTTCTCTGCTCCAAGCCTGCAGGCCTCCCTCCAAGTATGCCAAAATTACTTAAAGACTCCCCAAACGCTAATCTCCAGTTGGTCCCAACCAGGATGTTCCACTCCACCTAGTCTCTATCTGCCCCTCTGTATTTTGAAATACCATATAGAGGGAGGGCTGGATTGCTGGCAGCACCAAAGCTAGCTTGAACAACTGACAGGATGGGGCAGGGCCAGGTGAGTGGCCCTATGAGCTCTTCTCCCCTTGAAATCAGTCCCGAACATGGGGTAGCCCTAGCCTCTGGCTCCAGGGCTGGGCCAGAGGAAGGAAGAAGGAGGAAAGGTGTCTGCTCTGGTCCACTAAGCTAGGTCAAATCACCCAGAGTTCACAAAGTTAAGGATACACACTCTGGAATGAAATATAATCATCAGTGTGTATATGTGAATATATCTATGAAAGCATGTGCACTCTTAACAACAGTGTGATGCATAACCTAGCTTTGCCTTGGCTCAGCACTGATTCTCAATTCATCATGTACCCCAGCCCCTTTGAGTCAAACCTACCAGCTACTAAACAGCCCATGCCCCTCGCCCCTGTGACTCAGAATTCAGACAGAATTCATCCTGGCCCACCACTGGCTTCGCCTTTTCCTGTCACTCCCAAAAATGCTTTTTGAGGAAGCAAATACTTTATTGAGGGGCAACTTGCAGGTTACATTTGTGAACTTCCCATATGGGAGGCATTTAAAGGCTATCTTGGAAGAAGAGGGCTCTGGGTGTGTTTCTGTGTGTTCACAAGTGTGTGCACACCTGTGGAGAGCATCTGTGCGTCTATGGTGTGTGAGTCTCAGTATATGGGTCTTTATGAGGTGCATGAATGCATGTGTATATATTACGTGGGTTTAAGACATACCTATGTTTGTGAGCAAGCATATGTGTTCTGAAAATGGAAACTGTGGAGTATTTTATATGGAATGCAGCCTTAGGTGCAGTATGTTTATATGCAACCGTGTGTGTGTGTGTGTGTGTGTGTGTGTGTGTGAGCACGCGCGTGCGCGTGCTCGCTGAGGAGTGGGGGATAAATGGGTGCTATACTCCTATACCTCTAGGTGAGCATCTACACCCCAATTCACTCCCATCTCTGTACCTAGCAGACAAGATGGCAGAGTTTCTGCAGGCAGGTTTTCCTACAACTCTGGATTCCCTTGGAGGAATCCTAGGGCTAGGAAGGGGTCACTCTGGGTCTGGGGGTCCCTCCTGGCCAGTCCTGCCCTCTCCACCCTGAGAAGTTCCCTCCCCAGACTCGCCCTCATCATCGGCTTCAGCCAGGTCCTCAGGCATTGGCCACTCTCGAGTCTGCCACTCGAGCCGTTCGATGCGGTAAGCGATCTTGAGTGCGCCGGACTCCAGCTCCGCCAGGAGGCGAGCGAACTTGGTCTGTAGATCATCGAGTTGCTGGTCAAGGCCTCGTAGCCGGGACTCTGTGGCTTCCTGCAGGGCAATCTCAGCTGCCTCGGCATTTGCGTCCAGCTTGTTCATTTTGAGCAGGATCTCACGGCCCTTTTCCTCCATGACGACCTGGGCCTGGGGATACTCACTCAGGACTTCCCGCAGGTCCTCCTTGCTCAGGCAAAACAGGTCTGAATACCCCAGACTCTTGATGTTGGCTGTGCGGCGGTTCCCAGACATGTTCCCTGTGGCCCATGGGCAGACACAGGGGAGGACAGTTAGGATAGGTGTGGGGGTTTTTCAGTCCTGAAAGTCCCCATCTCCGTATTTCTGCTTTTGGGCCTCTCTATTAATTCTTTCATTCAGTAATGTAACTGGGGACCAGGCCCTGTGCTGGGTGGGTAATAGTGATCTGCCTGCAAGAATTCACAGTTTAGAGGCAATAGGCATTTAACGGGTTAGTTACAAAACAGTGTAGCTGGTGCGGTGTAGACGTGTGCATCCAGTGTTGTGGGAAGATAGGTAAAGAGCCCTTCACAAGCTGGCAGAAACTTTTGACTAGCTTGGGGGAAGTGATGCCTGACGGAGCAGGAGGTCAGAAGGGAAGGGCAGGGGGAGGGGCAGGGTGGCCTCCCAGCAGAGGGATGCGGGCAGGAGCCAGTTAGGTGGGTGGAGCAAACTGTAAGCAGTCCAGAGTGGCTGAAGGACAGGGTGGGAGGAGAGTGGAAGGAGGAGGGGAGGACCGGGCAGGCTGGGTGTGGCAGGCGACGCCAGGGAGTTCAGACCTTATGCTGAGGGCAGTGGGAAAACACTGAAATATTTTAAGTGGTGGAGCTGTATGGTATCATTCACATTTTAGGAAGATATTGATGCGGGGTTGTGGGGAAGATTGATTAGGCTGAATGCTGCAAAGCTCAGAGCTAGAAGGACTCAGAAGGAGCATAGGAGCTGAACACTTGCTATGCACCAGACACCGCCCAGAGGCCTTCCCCACAGAGCTCCTCTGATCCTCACAGATAACTCTTTGGGTGCTTAAAATCACCCCTGTCGGAGAGATGAGAAAACTGAGGCCTCAAAAAGGGAAATGACTTGTCCAAAATCATGTAGACAGCAGCTGACCGCATCCAGGAAGTGGAGCTTGCAGGGTCCTTTGGAGGACAGATGTGAGGCCTTTGGAACTAGTTAGAGAGTGAGATCCCCAGGCTGACAGCCTATGTGGCTTCGGTCAGTGACAGTGCGCTACCCGCCCCCCCCCCACCCCCTTGCCATGTTCTTCCATCTCCTGGAGCCTCAGTGCCTTTGCCTGTGATGAGGCATGCCAACAACGCCTACTGCACAGGCGGATAAAAAAAATCAGTGAGCCAGTGTGCAGCACCTGTCCTGGCCTGGAGTTGGTGGAGTGAATGGCAATGCCTTCCTCTACCCTCCTTTCCCCTTGGCTGTGAGAAAGTTCCTTTTACTGACTCCAAGTGTGTGTCCTTATTACCTCAATGCCCTTGGACAGTTTCCCAAACATCTCTGTCCCCCAATTTCCTCACCGTGAAAGTACAGATAATAGTACTGAGTTACGGTGAGAATTGAGTGAGTTGGTACGTGTGAAGCACTTTGAACGTGGCATGTAGTTAGTGTGCAATAAATGTCATCTATTCTTATTCTTATCATCTCTGTCACTTTCCACTGATCTGTTGGTATCTCGGGTTGACACCACAGAGCAGATCTACCTCCTCTTCCCAAGAAGCCACACTGTACACTAACCTTGGCTCAGCTTCTTCTCAGGGGACAGGCCCTCCATGTCCTGCTTCTCTTGTAAGCCCTCTAGTGACTCAGGTCAAGGCCAGGTTTCTGTAGCCTGTAGGCCCTGAAGTACCATTTGGTCTCAGTAGAGGGTTCTGCTGTCCCACCCACCAGCCCTGTCCTGGAACAAACGCTGAGGTGCCCACCTTTGATGTTGATGATGCTGATCTCCCCAAAGTAGAGCCCCGCACCGAGCACAGCATACTGTGTGACGCCATCATCTGCCACCACGGCCAACTGACCCTCACGGATGATGTACATCTCCCGGCCAACGTCCCCCTTGCGGCAGACGTATTCGCCTGGTGAATAGGTCTGGGGCTGCAGCTTCAGCACCAGCTCCTCCAGCAGGCTGGCCTCACAGTTCTGGAAGATCTGCACCCGGCTCAGAGTAGACAGGTGTACGGACACAGCCACTTCTGCCCGCAACCGCTCAGGCAAGTGCTGTAAGATGGCTACCTCGTTGGCCATCTCCTTGTTGATCTGCAGGTGCTGGTACCTGGGGGCAAGGGCAATAGTAGTTCCTCACCAGCCCCCTAATGCCTGCCTCTATTCCTTCCATCAGGGTTCAGCTAAGCTTCGGCCAAGGACCCAATCACCCTGAGATCTCACAGGGGTCATGGGAACACTGGATAGTTGGCTGATGAATATCTTCACTCCAGGATCACTTCACAGATATGTTTTGACCTCTTCTTCCCTACCCAGGGCCTGAAAGCCTCCACCAGTTTACAATGAATAAGACACCCTTTATCCACTGTCAGGTTTACCCCCCCCCCCCACCATTCAGCAACGCCTCATAGCATCCCGCTGATACCTACTTCAATCATTGAACCCTGTATCTAGAGGCCCTCTGCTTTAGCTCCTAACTTGCTGACATTTCCTTTTGTTCATCCTATTGTATGGACACGTATGACATAGTCAACCACCTTGTTGGCCATCCCATGGGAAGTATGGCTCTTCTCCCTTTACCCCTTCCAGGGCCTTCTGAGCCCCCCCAGGCAGTGGCAGTTTTTATTCCAGGTTATCCTTCCTTGGGTATGAGTTCCTCTCCCTATCAATCTCTTATCCAACCCAGCCCCCTAAGTCCAGATGCAACTGGTAGAAGACATTCTTTTCTAAGCCCCACCCAGCAACCCCCCCACCCCGATGAATGCCATGCCCTAGTTGCCCTGCCTGGTCCGCTAGGCAATAAGGACCCAGCCACCTTCCTCAGGCCTTATCCAGAGTACCTCTCCGTGTCCTGGTCTGGGGCCCCAGCATCCTCACCAGTCAATAACTCGCCGCTCCAGCTGGCGGTTGACATTCTGCTGCTTCATGTACTTCTTCACCAGTGCGTGGTCCGGGTAGAAAGCTGCATCTGCAGTGTTCATGTTGTAGATGACAGAGCTCATGCTCCCCATGATGGTGGCAAAACCCATGACAGCCAGCAGGAAGTCGCCCACCATGAAGAGGTACTCTTCCTCCCGCGCGGGCAGCGGTATATCGCCCACGGTGGTCAGGATCAGTGTGGAGAAGTAAAAGCTGTAGAGGTACTGGCGCCGCAGACGCTCAAAGCCAGGCTGCGCGGGGTCAGGGTACACCCAGGCGTCACGCCCGAAGCCCAGGTACCGGGACAGGGCAAAGTATAGGCAGCTGTTCCAATGGATAACAACAAAAATGTAGAGCATCAGCTTGGTGATGCGAAAGACGTTTGGGTAAGCTGTGCGGGTCTCTGTGCGGTCAAAGGCCTCAAAGAGGCGGGGCACACGCAGAAAGCGGTTCAGCCTCAGCATGGGGGTGTGTGGGCCCAGCCACACATAGGCCACATCTGTGGGCATGAGGGAAACCAGGTCCAAGAAGAAGCTCCAGGTGCAAACATAGTGACTTGAAATCCTGCCCTTGTCCTCCACCAGGATGCCCTGGTCCAAGAATCCTGGGGATGGGGAGGCGGAGACAGGCTGGGGTCAAGGATGAGAAGGGGTCAGGTATGGGGCTGAATCAGGCCACCTGCCTGCTGCTGTAATAAGGGTGAGGGTGGGCAGGCCAGGGTAGGACAGGGAGACAGACATGGGGACAGGGTGGGGGTGGGCATAACCTTGCTCCAGGGTTTCTGGAATGGGCACAGGGGTGTTGTGAAGCATGGAGACATGTGAAAGTGCTCTCAAGGAGAGAGTCACTTCCTTGTGACTAAGAGGCCCTCTTTAGGAAGGTAACATGGAACAAAGGGTCAGCCTTGGGCTCACTGACCTGTGTGGAAGTGTACCACGATATCCAGTAGGTATAGCAGGTCACTTGTGTAGTCCAGCACTAACCAGGCCACCAGATAACTGTGCTGCAAGTCAGGAAAGCAGGCTCTGTGTGGCGGGGACAGAAGAGATTGGCTCAAGAGCACCCTCTGTGCAAGGCAATCTCCCCAAGGCACTCAGCACTCTGCCCTGGGCCCTCTCTTCCGTGCTACCCCTCCTTCCGGCCTGGCCCAAGGGCCTGCCCCTTTCCTTGGCCTGACCCTTGAGCCCTTATCTCTGCTTAAGGCCCTTCTTTCAGCATCCTTCCGAACCTGCACACGATGATGATGAGGTTATACATTACTGGGAAGACCATCGTGTTTAGCCACCAGTAGTAGTAATCCCCAGATGGGTCTAGGACAGGCAGTGACTTCCTGTGGAAGGAAGAGGAGAAGCAGGGTTTCACTTTTTTCACCAGACATTCATTGTTGAGTTTGTCACCGGGGACATCAAGAAGAATCAGGCTCCATCCAGTCAGGTGGACAGATTGGATGCAGGGGGACCAGGATCTCTCACCTGGTCTTGGTTGGGGCAGAGGGGCTGGACTCCGTCGTCTTCACTTTGCTGTCCTGGCTCATGCTTCCGTGGCCTGGTGCCTGGATGTGGAGTATCCAGGGCCTCTGCCTATGGTGCCTGCCTGCCTGCCTGTCTGGAAGAGGCTGCCCTTGGTCTCCCGCTGTGACTCCTCTGCCTCTGACTTCTGAAGCTCTTAGCAACACAACCAGGGCCAGCCCCTACTGAAGGCGCAGAGGCAGTGTGGCCCCAGCACCCCGCCCTGTCTCCCAGGGCCTGGGCTTACACCTGCCCAGCTAAACATCTCTAATGAGGTCCCTGGAGAAGGTGGGGGTGCATACTTCAGAAGTAAGGCTGGGCCTTGTTTCTTCCCCCACCCTGCCAAGCTGCACGACTTAGGGGTCTTCTAAGTCAGGAGAGGGGGCTGCCAGTATAGGCTCAGACAGTCATTCTGTTTTACTTTGTGCAAGTTCTCTGCTTGGGCCTCATTATTTATTCATTTAACAACTATTGACTGAATGGCTCATTTGTGTCAGGTGCTGAATTAGTCTCTAGGGACAAACAAAGCTTGTCACATCAAATGTGAGCTCTGTTTTCATTATCTGCACCCTTATCTACGTCCATGCCCACTTTACCTCATTTTTTTAAAAAAAGATTTATTTTAGAAAGAGAGAGTGTGTCGTGTGTGTGTGTGAACATGCTTAAATCTCTCCCACACTAAAACAAACAAAAAAATCCTGAAAATTCTCCCTCAACCTGCTGTCCCTTTCACTTCTATCATCTTTTCTCAGTCAACAGGTCATAGTCGGAACACAAGCCAATATTATGCTCAATATTGGGGATAAAAGATGAATGAAACCCACCCCCTGCCCTCTAGAAACTCAGAGTTTGGTAGGGGAAATAGTCGGGTAGCTAGGCCGTTACGTATCAGTTTGATGGGTACTCTATTAGGTGGATATACATAGGGCTGTTACACTATAAGAAGGGTCCCAGTTGAGCCTGGGTTCTGTAGGATGAATAGGAGTTAGGTCTAGGGAGGGGAGAATGAAGAGCAGCAGAGGCAAAGTGCACAGTGTGTGCAAAGGCGTAGAGACTTTAAAAAACCTGGGTGACGGGGAGACATCAACTGGTTTCTGTAGAGAACGTGAGGGGCTGGGGGTGCAGAAGGAGGCTGAATGGAGGACAAGAGGGCAGCCCAGGGAGAGCTTTCTCAGCCATTTTATAAAGCTGGAGATTTATCTTAAAACAATGGAGGACCTGCAAAGTGTTTTGCATAGTTAAGTGGTATGGTCAGATATGTATTTTTGGAGAGTTTCATGGAAGAAATGTCTATAGTCCACAACATTTTATTTTATTTTTTTTGGAATCCTCTTTTCCCATGGCTTCTGTGACACCATAATTTCTTGGTTTTCTGTTTATTTTTTCTTAGTCTTTTCATAAGCTTGTCTGTCCATCCTTTCTGTGTTGGCGTTTTTAAGACCCTGACCTAGGCCTTCCTCTCTTTCCATGCTCCCTGCTCTCTCTGGCCAATCTTGATCGCCCACAGGATCTTCTTTCCCATCTACTGACTCCCAGAAACTCTGAGCTGCAGACCCATCTATACCACTAACTGCTCGCTGGATGTCCTTACTTGGATATACCACAGTCACCTTTAGCCCATTGGGTCTATAATTGAGCTCATTATCTTCCTTCATCTGTTCTTTCTCTTATAATCCCTCTTTCTGGTCTTTCAGGCCAAACATCTAGCACTAGTATTTGTTATTATTACTATCATTATTATTATTATTGTATGACATTATGGCAGTTTTTAAAAATGGTCACAAATTCTTTGACACTCCTGCCTTGTGACTGTTTCAACCAATAGAATATAGCAGGAGTGACTTCTGAGGCTGGATCATAAAAGGCTATGCAGCTTCCTTCTGGTTCACTTGGGAATGCTCGTTGTCTGGAAGCTCCCCATCAGGACACTCCTTCTTGGAACCTAGTTGCCACATTGTGAGAAGTGCAAGCCACAAAGACTAGTCATGTCTCTGTACTGTGTTTGACAGTCCCAGCTGAGCTCAGCCTTTGAGTTGTACCAGCCCAGGCATCAGTCATGTGAAGAAGAGTGAAGAAGCCTCAGATTACACTAGCCACCAGCCTCAAGTCACCCCCCAGGCATTCGGGTATCTTATATGAGGCCCCAGGCATCATGGACTAGAGATACACCATTCTTGCTGTGTCTTGGTTGAACTCCCAGAATCTGTGAGCATAAAGAAATAGTCGTTGTTTTACACTACTAAGTTTGGGATGATTTGTTATGCAGTATGGTAGCCAGAACAAACATATATATTAAAAAAGTGCACATTTCCTAAGTATACAGCTTGATGAATTTCATAAAGTGAACACACCCATGTAACCAGCACTCATAAGAACCCCACTCTGCCCCCTTCCAGTCCTTGCTTTTCCAAGCATAATCACTAGCCTGACTTCTAATACCATAGTTGCGTTTTGCCTGTGAATGAACTTATATAAACTAAGCATCAGTTTTTAATCCTTTTATTTTCCTTTCATATGCATCCAGGCATCAAGCCCTGGTGCCCTGCCTTCTAATGTCCACATGTCCATTTCTCTGTAACTTTACTACTTCAGTTTCGGCCTTACCAATTTGACCATGTATAAAATTCTTTATAGTTCTCTGTTATCCCAAGGATAAAATCTAAACTCCTTCACATGGCATACAAATCTCCCATTCCTGACCTCTGTTCATGTCTTCAGCCTCATCGCTAGTGTTTCCTCTGCATGTTGCCTGGGCTCCAGACATGCTGTACTGATTGTAGTTCCCAAAGCACCTCCCCACCTGTTGTTCATTCTTCCTTGCCTTGGTATGGGCTAATCCAATTCTTTTTCTTTTTAAATACTTTTTATTTTAAGCGAATTTCAGGCTTACAGAATGTTGCAAAAAAGGTGCAGAAAGTTCCCGTAAACTTCTTAGCCACATTCCCCTGTTATCATCTTATATAAGCAGAGTACAATGATCAAAACCAGGGAATTAACATTGGTAATAGTTCGAACTAAACCACCGACCTGATCTGAAACTTTCATTTCTCTTAGTTTACCATACTCTTGCTTGTTTCTCTGTTGAGACATCATTTACTCCTGAAGGTTTCCCTAAGCCCCTTTTGCCCTTCTTTCCCTTAAGGGCTGAGGTCTTGGAGGGCAGATATGGGTTCTAATTGATCTGGCTGGCATCCTGCCTGGTGTGGAGGTGCTTACTCCGTGTTCCTTGAGTTAATGAACAGACGGTGTCCAAGGCGGATCACGGGGCAGCAGGCGTTGGGGAAGCTAGGAAGGGGCGGTCATCGGCCGGGTACAGTCCAAGCCGTGCGCGCAGATGGGGCAAAAACGACCTAGTCTGCAGTCAGCCCTCTCATGGGCTCAGCTTTTCCACAGGCCCCGCGCACCTACTGACTCCTCCCCTCAGACCTACCTTTCGTGCTAGCTCCGCCCCATCCAGCCCACTCTTCCACCCTAAGCACCGCCCAGGACCACTGGCCCCGCCCCTCCACGCTAGTCTTTCAGCCTCTGTTCTCTCCTAAGCCCCGCCCTTGGCCTTTCCTTGCCTCCTAAAGTCGCGTCCCTCCTTAGGTCCCGCCTTCTGCCCTCTGGTTCGACCTTTCCTCCTCAGGCTCCGCCCCCGCCCTACGGGCCTCCGCCTCCCCAGAAGTCTTTCCCTATGACACGCTGGAGTCCTTCGGAGGGGCGGGGTCTACAGCACGAAGGGGCGGGACCCGGGGAAGAGGCGGTACTCCTCGCTCGGAATGCCGTCGGCGACCCCGCCCCGGCGCTCGGCCGTTGCCAGGAAACAAGCATCGGCGCTCCGGCTCTGGCCGGGTCCAGCCAATGAGCTGGCACGCCACTGCCCAGCGGTGCGTCGCTGGGCGGTTACGTGGGGGTGCGCGGGGGCGCGAGTTGCGTGTGGCGCGGGGCGGGGCGCGGCTGGTGCGCCTGAGGAGCGATGGCGGCGGCCTGAACTCACCTAGGAGGGCTGCGGCGCTCGGGCCTGGTCAGGATCGGGGTTCTGTGAGTGAACGGCAAGTATGGGCCGCAGGGCCCGGAGAGGCCTGTGAGGGGCTGAGGGACTGGGGAATGACGGCACCGGATTTGGTGACTGTACTGGTCATGAGGGGACAGGGTGAGGGGCTGGCATGTGGTAAGGGGCCGGGTGTGAGTGTCTAAGGTAGGGGAGCAGCTTAAGAGCCTAAGGGTGAGCGGGCAAGTGAGGAGCTGGGCAAGAAGAGGGGCTAGGGATGCTTTTCGAGGGGCCAAGGGAAAGGGACTTGTGAACACGGTTTAGTGAGGGGCTGAGGCACCTGTGGGCAGGGGTGAGGGCAACCCTGGGGCCAGAGTGGGGCCTCTGCGGGGAGGGGAGAGTGAAGGGCAAAGGCGGGAGCGTGCGGGCTGGTGGGGAATGGGTGAGGATGTTGAGGCTAGGGCATGAGGGAAGGAATGAGGATTGTGAGGCTCGGATAAGGTTGAGGTTGGTTTTGGAGCCTACTTCGATGGACTGTCCTGCCCAGTGTCCTGCCTAGTTTCAGACCGAGTAGGACAGCTTGGGTGGAAATGTTGTGCACTTGGCTTTTGGAGGACAGAAAAATGAAGGCGTCATGGGCAGTAATAATTATGATAATGAAAATTATTTTTGAGGCTTAGTTTTCAACCAGAGTAATCACTGAAACTGCCGGTTTCTCAAGTTCCTCTTTGGGACTCCAAACTTGGAGATGGTCCCTCTCATGGAGGTTTTTTGGGGGGGGGGGGGGCTACGACCGCCTATGTTTGTTTTCTGTCCACTGCTTCTGGGCAGCCTTACTCCGATGCTGCTCCTCACCTGTGCTTAGCTGTGGGGCTCTTATGGTTGTCATCTAAATTGGCCTAACCATTTTCAGTTGCTAATTCTACTTTCATGAGAGTCACATGGTTTGTTACATACAACACTATATTTAGGCTCTCAAACAGAATGGCTTTGCTCTCAGTTTCTTAGTTTAAAAAAATTCCACTTTATTGAGGTAAATTCATATACAATAAACTGCTCATATTTAAAATGTGCATAAGTTTCGCCATATGTTTACATCTGTGAAACCATCACCACTTTCAAGATACTGAACATTTCTACTGCCCCCAGAAGTTTTCTCCTATCCCTTTGCAACTCATTCCTCTGTCCATGACACATTTTTGGGTTTACTTTATTAGTATTTTGCAGGTCCCTTTCTCCCTGCCAACCCACACTCACACGAACATTTTAAAAGTTCTAGACAGTTGGGTTGGCACTCAGTTATAATGGACCCTTCACTTTCCCACCACTAAATTTTCCTCTCTAGTGACAGTCGACCACAGAGCCCAGATACTTTCCCCCAACCTCTGGGAGATTTAGGCCATTCCTATCCAGACTGTTCTCTTGAGAATTAGGGGCAGCCCAAGCCCAAGTTGCCATTCTGTTCTAGAGGCTCAGCCTCAGGACCAACTGTTCGGACCCATGGTATGTTTTCATTGCTTCTCTCTGGAGGCCAAACATTTTCATGCTACTGGAACCTTGACCACCTACTCTGATGGGCAGAACCCTGTAGAACCGACATGTATCATAACAGGGTTTGGAGCAGTGATTCCTAAACACTGGGCCAAGGATAGTGCCAGTTCATGGTAAAGATTTCATCCATCCAAGGAGGAAGGAAAGATAACATATGAAACATGAGTTTTTCATAAAGATAAGTTCATTCTGAGATTATTCTTTTAGTGTTAAAGTGCTTTCTGACTGATGAAATAATGGTGACAGTAGATGGTGGGTTTTAAAGAAATGGTCTTATTTGCCAAAATAAGTAACAAGCCTATTTTTAAAATTTTTTAGAAATTATTTTTAATAGTTCCTGAAATGGAGAAATTTAGAGTGATGAAGGCGTGGCTGTTGTTATTATGGTTGAGAAAGCCTGTGTTTAGACTAATTCTGGATAACTTCTGACATTTGAACAGCATTCATTCAGTCTCACATTTCACTGGGTTTACATACTTTGTGAAGTATAGATGATGGATCAGATTCATAAATCAGAGGTCACATAGTGATAAAGTGGCAAAGCTGAACCCAAACTTTGGTTTCCTGAGAGTGGGTGACTTGGGGAAAGAAGGTTTGTAGCAGAGAGTGAGAGCCATGTGGACTAAATGGCACCTTAGGTATGGGAAGAGTTGTGATGATGACTTACTTGGAGGACATTATACTGGCAAAAAGCAATTTTTATGATTTGTAATTAATGTGGTTCCAAAAGAGTTAAAGAGACTTTGAGGGTGACATAGAGATGAAGGTTCTGTTTAATATTGTGTCAATGACACGGGAACAGGTATACTTAACACCTGGATCACACTGTGATAGTGGTAGGATGAGTCAAGTCGTCAGAGCATTCTTAGGGACTGTCCAAATTCTTGGGTGTTCTGGAGAAAGCACTGGGTTTGGTAAGCTACATTGAACTGTGTTGAAATAGTAGTGCAGGAAGTAAAATGGATTTTGACTTAGACATACAGCCCAGTGGTAGATCTCAGAAGAAGTAACATAGAGGGTAGTGATGTATAGATAGAAACATGTTTGGAGTGCTGTATGTAACCATTTTTTCCACATCTGCTATACACCAGGCACTCTGCTAAGTGCTGGGAGAGCAAGTTCATTCATTCATATATTAATTCATTTATTCATTCAGCACATACTTTTTCAGTATGTAGTCTGTCATTGTGAAGTTTACATTTTATGAGATAACAAGATAAATAAGACACGGTCCTCTGAGGTCTCAAGGAATTCTCAGTCAGGTTGGGAGAGGTAGATACATGGGAAGATGATTTCAATTTAGTGAGAGAGAGTGAAATGCAAAAGCATATCATGGGGATATAGTCTCTCCCTGTGTCATATATATTCCATGGTGTACCATATATCTGCACAGGTATTACAGATTTATACATCCAAAACAGCACTCAGTGTCTTTGCTCTGAGAGTGTGCTGTTGTATCACATGCCCTGTCTCAGTCCAGGCAAGGACTTCAGTGTCCTCTTCATTCTTTCCACTCCTTAACCCCCTGTTATTTAATCACTCACCAAAATCTTAATATGTTTCCCTCTAAATTATTTTCCTCTTCATCTCCATGGCTACATCTTAACTGTTAAAGCTTTAGTTTACTTCTTCCTCCTCTCTCATCTGGATTCCCTCCCATCCCCCCAACAGTCTCCTGCCTTCAGACTTGCTCTTTTCTAGTCTGTCCCTAGAATGGCCTTTCTAAAAATACAAACGTAATCATGGAGCTCCTCTGCTTAAAAACTTTTGGCTCTTTGTGTTCTGTAGGACAACATCCAAATTCCTTAATATGGCATCATTTGGCCTCAACTCACCTCTCCAGCCTCATCCCCTGCCACTCCCTACTTTGTGTTCTAGCTTGAATAAATTGTTCACAGTTCCCTAACAAACATGTTACTTTTTTGAGCCTTGAGATCTTTGTAATAGCTGTTTCCCTTACTAAGAATACTTTTTCTTCTCTGCCCAGTGAACTTTCCTTGTTCTTTAGGATCTAGTTCATTCTCTCCTCCTCTTTTTGACATCTTCTTTGTCATCATCACCCAAGAGGGGTGGAGAAAGAGCCGTGTGTGACGTGGAGATTCACTGCTGTAAAGGGGAGTCACCGTGTTTGAGGTTCACGTTGTGTAAAGGCTGTGCTGGAGTCAGGTGAGATTCCCTGCAAGAAGCAGAGGTTCTTGAGGAGAGGGGAGGGAGTGAGTTGGGAATGTGTCTTATATGTGTAGGCTGATGGATGGACAAGCAGGGAGGATATGTGTAAGCTGAGCTCTAGGTTAGTAGGCTCCTGTGAGGTACCCCCCCCCCGCCCTTTTGTACTCCTATGAGGTTTTAATCAGATCTTTCTACCTGAGTATTTAAGGTAACGGCTCATTCATGCCTCTTATGTCGGTAATCAGTCATCTTGCCTAGGAAGAACCATTGTACAACGGGAGAGAAACCCCCAGACTTTACTGACCTGTTTTTGAAAGGTCATTTTGGTCTCTCCCTGTCTGCTGTAGGTGTTGCAGGTATATCCCTGCTCTCAGCTCCCTCCCTCTCTTGCCTCTCCCAGGGCAAAGGTTCATAAGGAAGGCTGAACCACTTCCTGCCCTGTGCCTGCTATTCTGAGGTTGGTGGATACCCTTGCTGAAAGTGCCTGTAAGGCTGTATTTTGTGCTGTAAGGTGAGTGACTGACCTTGGCTGTTTGTGGGTCTAAAGATCAGTTCTTTCTTCCCCCTTTTCCCCTGTGGCTGAGCCTGAAAATAAATCTGGGAAGAGGGGTCTACTCTTTTTTCTAGACTTTACAATGAGAGGAAAGGACACAGTAATAGGGTGGTGATTCCATTCTCTTTGTCTCGTTTTGAACTTTGCACAGTTAACAGGGAATGAGAGTCTTAAGTAGGTGACAGGAACACCAAGCTATGGTCTTCTTTTGTGTTTTTGCAGTATGTGAAGGGGGCCCAGGTTAAGTGTTAGCTTTTGTGTTCTGAGACACTGATTTCAGTGTCGCTCTTCTCTTTGAGGTCTTTGAGAGTTGGAGATGTGGGGATGAAGAAAGGTCCTGGAGGCTATCCCCTTTGGGTCTGTGAGCAGTGCCCTTTGTTGGTCAAGCAGTGAAGCAGAAGTGGGCACCCCAGTTATATTGCAAGGTAGGAGTTGGTTGTTATCTTTGGAATTGAGTTCTAGGAGCAGAAGGCAGTTTAGTTTTGGACATGTTAAGGCTTGCTGAGACTGGATGCTTGGTTCTTCTTCAGCTCATCAGAGTATGAGTGTGGGGTGGTAGGGGTGGACATGTGAGAGCAGGTTAGATCTCCTCTCAGTCAAAGGTGAGAATACCTTGGTCAGATAGGATCAGGAGAGGGAAGGGAGAAAGGAAAATGTTATGTACCGAGCACCTGCTTTTTATGCCTTGTGTGTTACATAGGTTATTTTGTTTTTTAAAACCGTAACAGTACTTCATCAGGAATTTATAGATAAGGAAACTGAGGCTCCCATGTGTGAAGTGATTTATTTAAAGTCACACAGCTGGAAAATGGTGGACTGAGATTCAAACTGGAGCTCCTGTTTTACCTACTACTTTGTGTTACTCTTACTTGACCTTAGGGCCTCTATTTATTTTCAGTCCTCAAATGAGATATGATTGAAAAAGGATTCTCTAACCAGTAATGCTCTTGTATCAGTTAGGGTCCTTGCACGGGGCACATCGCACACATTTGGTTTGGGAAGAATTTAATAAAGGGATTATATTTACAAAGGCATGGGTAGAGTTTAAAGAAACCAGCAAGGGGGGGACGCAGTCTCCCAGGGCTACTAGCAGTGAGAGTGCTACTAACAGGGGACCTTTCTTACCAGTATTCTCAACTGTTGGCTTTGCTCTCCCCAGCTCGTGCTTAAGGACTTGGGCAGACAGAGAAGTACCTTTTCCAGTACAGCCCTGCTGCGGGTAGCTACTAGAGTGTACGACTGTTGGATGGTTTATAGGAAACCGTGTGTGAAAGACCGAGCATCCGTTCTGTGGCTCCACCGCCTTCTCACTCCTCTTCTTTGCCACCCCCACTCTCTTGGGCGAGTGAGTGAGGGGAGGTTCGGTGGGTGGGGGGTGGTAGGAGATGTTAGCGTCCCTGTTTCAGATTTCACATTTACCTGAACTGGCACCCATCCTTTATTACTACTTCCCTCCTTTCTCAGAGAGGGTTACCCTCTTTCTCAGACGAGTCCTGTGTCTGTCTGATTTCTCTGGCAGTTATCCCCATCTGATTTATCCACAGCCCGTTACTTTCTTCATACTTCTTTTCCTCACTTGACAGACATACTTGAGGCTCTCCATCCTGAAATAAAACAAAACTAAAGTATAAAAACTCTTTCTCTTGACTCCTTACCTCCGACCCCTCCTAGCTTCTTTAAGCTATTGCCCTATTTTCATCCTTTCCTATGTCACTCACTTCCCTGTATTGCATGTTACACTTCTTTGGCTCTTAGTCATTCTTTAACTAATTATTTTCCTAAGTTTATCTAAAACTTGATTGCTAAAACTGATCATTTTAATCTTCCTTCTGCTTAGTCTCTTTGTAGACCATACATTATGGCAATCTCCACTTTCTTGAAACTTCCTTACCTTGATTTCTAGGTTATCATTATTTCTTGGCTTTTCCTTCCATTTCTGGCTAGCTTCACAGTCCTCAAAGACACTCCTCCTTTGCTTTCCTAATTTCTGGTTTTCCCCAGGATGTCACCCTCAGCTCCCTTCAAGGTCTGCTGTTGTCCTTGGATGATTTCATCCATCTCCATAGTTCCATCTATCACCTATAAGCTGTTGACTCCTGGATATATATCTGTAGCCTTGATTTCACTCTTGAGCTCAAGTGGAATATTTCTATTTGCTTTCTGGACATCATGGATATCCTATAGGTGTCTCATAGCATAACGTGTCTCAAACCTTAACAAAGCTTATTCATCCTTTTTTCTAAAACACCTTTGTTGTGTGTTCCTCACCTATTAATGGCATTATCTTTTATTGAATCTCTTTACTTCATATTAGGGTCTTCTCTTATCCTCCATCCATTTGTCAGGTCTTGTTTGTTCAGGCTAAGTGAATGCAGATGATCTGCATTTGCATCCCAGCCTTGCTACTTACCAGTTGGCTAACTTTGACAGTATATTTAACCTTTGTAGGTTTTGACTTTCTCATGTGTAAAAAGGAGATACTAGTACATCTCGAGTTTTAATGGGGTTTAAATGAGCTACTACATATAGTGCTTAGAGTAGAGCCTGCCATGTAGTTAAGTGCTCAATATATGTTGGCTATAATTATTTCTCATTTAGCATTCAGTTCCACAAGCATTTTTGAATGCCAGGCACTGTTGGCACTGTAATTGCAAAGAAGAATGAATGGTATGGTCCCTTTTGAGGGAGCTTGCTATTATTGGCAGGGATATTACAGGTGTAAATAATTTCATTATCACCTGGGACATGCTAAGATAAAGGTGAATCTCATATTTATCTTTTCTAATCTTGCTCTTACCACCTTACTTGATCTGTCATCTGCCTCTCGCTGTTCTACCTTAGACTGCTATCTGACATCTTTTTAAAAGCGAATTTGATCTTGTCCTTTCCTGGTCTAAAAACCTCCTTTGTTTCCGGGGTGTCAGTAGATAAAACTTAAACTTTTTAACATGATACTCAGTGATAATTATAACCATCACACATATTTACTCTTCAACTCAGTAATGTTTCTTCCTTCTCTAAGTACTCTGTGATTAGGCCACCCCAAACTTGGAACGGATTTTCAAATTTGTCATGTTCTTTCACAGTGCCATATTTTTGTACATACTGTTTTTAATATGAAGGCCTTTCCCTCCGCTCTCTTTGTGGCCAGTATCTCATTGCTAAAGGCTTAAGTCAGATATCACCTCTTTTCTGGAATCCTGTTATAATGTCTCAGGCAGAATTAGTTGCTTTTTTTCATGTCCCTGTAACTCTTTTGTAAATACCTCTGTTTATAATAATCATTGGAGTTTTTGTTTATGCTCCCCCATCCAACTGTTTTTATCTGTCTTCATATTTCCATTGATTATTTAGCAGAGTACTCAGTACTTTATCAGTATGGATGTACTTGAGTTAATCGGTGAGTGAGCCCTGCCCGCTGTTTAGGATTGGCCCTGCCCTTTATTGTAAGACTGTCTCCTGTTCTATAGGTTTCCTTAAGCCTAGTTGCTACCTTCCTTTAGTTGTGAGTTGGTAATGGTGAGAGAGCCTATCTGGGTGGAAGGGGATTGTGTTAACATAACCCGAGGGCAAAGTATGGGGCTGGTGCCAGGTCTCTGGGTTCCTTCAGCCTTTGTTGAGCTTAAAGAGGAAGGACAACTGAACCACACCTTTCCTCTGAAATTTTTGTACTTGTGAGAGATAATAATGCTGAGGGGGTGAGGGGTGCGATGGAGAAGGAGCTGTGAGTTATTGTCTAGGCCAACAGCCGTTTTGGTACTTTTCCCCTTTCTCTAGTGAGGGTGTCCTGTCATGTCCCCAGGAATGAGTGTTGGATATATCTGGCAGGAGTTGGGTATATGTGTGTGAATGTGTCCCTGTGTTCTTTGCGGGAATGAAGATTGTTCTGCTCTTTTGGTTTGTTCTGGATTTCCGCCTTTTATGTGTGTATTCAGCTAGTTAAGGGTCTGTTGGGTTATTTCCTACTGGGTAGGCTTCTAGGGAGGGACAGTGATTGGTAGAAAAAAATTTCTTCCTCAGTATTCCGAGGTGGCTGGAGTCAGATCAAGACTGTGGAGGGGGGTGGGAGGCAAGACTGGAAGCATGGAGACCAGATTGGAAGCTATTACAATAGTAAGACATGCTTTGAGGGTATAGGTGATAGGGTTTGCTGATGAACTGGATATTGGAATTAAGGAAAAGAAGAAATAAGGATGATGCCCAAGTTTTTGGTCTGAGCATGTAGGTGAATGTTGGTATCATTTCTTGAGATGGAGAAGGCTGGAGGAGTAACAGGTTGGGTGGTAGAAGTGAGTTCTGTTTTAGACACATGACATTTAAGATGCTATGTGTGTGCATGTGTACGTGGAATTCTCAGTGGATTGGTGGCTCTGGGTTCTTCCTGTTGGGGAGTGGAGAGAGACAAACTCCTGTTGATCTCTTCCTTTCTCTCTCTCTTTGAATTAGATTTGCAGGTCTGGACTGGGCAGTGACCTCTGGGCTCACTTCTCCAGCCTGGTGTATCCTTTGGCTCCATGGCCAGCTACTGGCTCCTGCAGGCCGGATGAAGCAGACTAGAGACACAAGTGGAGAAAGCCTCCGGCTGGCAGACTCTCAGAGTGTGGCCCTCTGGCCGCTGGCCCTGCCCAGCCTGCCTCATGGAGAGGATGAACTGGCTGAGCAGACTGGCCTCCCGGGGCCCTGGGCACCGTGTCCCTCAGGGGGCCAGTCTGCAGACCCCCGTCATGGCTGACCCTGAGACCTGCCTCATGGTCTTCAAGAATCACTGGTCCCAGGTAGGAGATTCTATGCCAAATGGCCTGATCTACTGGCTGCCTGAGTCCTTCCAACCTTCCGTGTTCTCTCACCATCCCATTTAGTCATATCATCTTAGATTCCTGCTCTCTTGTCCTGTTCCTCTAGGCGGTGCGAATCCTGGAGCGGCAAGGTCCTCGGGCAGCTCCTGGGGGGGCAGATGATCTCAGTGCTGTGCGCAACCACACTTACCAGATGTTGACACTGCTGGTGGAAGATCGTGCTGTCCCCTCAGCCCCCACGGCCCCTGGGCCCTTGCTGGAGTTTGCTCTGCGTGAGGACCTGCTAACCCGTGTGTTGGTGTGGCAGCTTCAGTGGGATGAGCTTGGGGACGGGGTTGAGGAGCGGCGAGCTGAGCAACTGAAGCTGTTTGAGATGCTAGTGAGCGAAGCTCGCCAGCCGCTGTTGCGACATGGACCGGTTCGTGAGGCTCTGCTGACCTTGCTGGATGCCTGTGGCCGCCCTGTGCCCAGTAGCCCAGCACTAGATGAAGGCCTGGTGCTACTTCTCAGCCAGCTGTGTGTGTGTCTGGCCCGGGAGCCTTCATTGCTGGAGTTCTTCCTACAGCCACCTCCTGAGCCTGGAGCTGCCCCCCGTCTTCTCCTCTTTTCTCGCCTCGTTCCCTTTGTCCATCGAGAGGGCGCACTGGGCCAGCAGGCTCGTGACGCCCTACTCCTGCTCATGGCTCTGTCAGCTGGGAGTCCCACTGTGGGCCGCTACATTGCAGATCACTCTTACTTCTGCCCGGTCAGCACCTCCTGGGATGGGGGGGTGGGGTATCGTGTGTAGACATTGTCCAGCACCTTGCTATCCAGAAGATGTGGAGGGGCTATGTATGGGGTCCTCCTTTAGGTAGTAGCCCCCTAGGTTTGAAAGCAGCACCTGGAGTTGGGGTGGGGATGAAACATGGCTTAGGTGGATAGCATAGGTACTAAGGCTCTTCATGGGCCAGTGTTCCCAGGGCCAGTGTTTCCAGCACATTCGGTAACTAAATATCTGCTTTGGGAATAGCTCTTTTCCCACTCCTGTCAAAACTCTGGGTTAATAACTCCCCTGCTCCCCATTTTTTATATTGTCTGAGCTTTTGGTAACCTGTCCTTGGTGATGGCCCCCAGGTGCTGGCCACAGGGCTGAGTGCCCTGTATTCCTCACTGCCCCGAAAGATTGAGGTTCCAGGGGATGATTGGCACTGCCTGCGACGGGAGGACTGGCTAGGCGTGCCAGCCCTTGCGCTGTTCATGAGTTCCCTAGAATTCTGCAATGCAGTCATTCAGGTGGGACTCGGGTTCCCAGGAGGTCTGGTGTTTGGTCATTCTGGGCAGATGGGGGGAGGGGCACATTCCCTGGAATTCTGCTATTCTGCCATCGTGGGGGTAGGGTATTCTGCTACTCCCTTCCAGGCAGTGGCCACCTCACATTCCTCCTCCCTCTCTCTTGCACCCCTACAGGTGGCTCACCCTTTGGTGCAGAAGCAGCTAGTTGATTATATCCATAATGGGTTTCTGGTGCCTGTCATGGGCCCTGCCCTGCACAAGGTGAGAGTTATGGGTGGCAAGGCAGATTAGGGTATTAGGCTGAGGGGTGGTGACCTGAATGCCAGGACCAATGTGGGAGGCAGTGGGCTGGGTACCCCTCCCTTTTTCCCTGTCTGCTCCTGCTTCCTCCTTAGAACTCAGGGAAAAATGACTCAGTGTATGTGCAGGGAAGCCCTAAATCTCCAAACTTTCCCTTCCCTTCGTCCAGACCTCTGTGGAGGAGATGATCGCCAGTACCGCCTATCTGGAACTTTTCCTACGGAGTATCTCAGAGCCTGCTTTGCTCCGTACCTTCCTGCGATTCCTGCTGTTACACCGGCATGACACCCACACCATCCTTGACACCCTCGTTGCCCGTATTGGCAGCAACTCCCGGGTATGGCCCCTACCTCTGTCCTGGCTTACCTGGGTGAGCCATCTTCTCTCTCTGACCTTTGTTCTGGGAGGGTACGCCTGCCCTTCTTTGGCCTTTGTCTCCAGCAGTCACTTCAAAGTTAGGTGGCATTTCCTTTCCAGTATTAAACTTTTGACCATTTTGGGTACAGATTTTAGTCTGCTCCCTTGCTTTTGTAATATATGAATCTAGAACACAGTTACTTTTTCTGGATAGCTGGCTGCTCATCATGACTAGAGGTTTTGCCATTGTGCTATACTTGCAGCATTGGCCTGAGGTTCTCTTTAGCTGTGTATTGTTCTGTGGCCTGCTGTGGGTGACTCGAGATCAGTTCTCCAGGTTTTGTGTCTGTTTTGATAGGTGATCCTGCTGCTTCTGGTATGCTTAGCTTTTCTCCCCTGTGGATTTGCTGCATTTGAACTATAACTCGGGGCACCCATCCACCCACCTACCTACTTAAACATTCCCTTTTCCTGAACATTTATACTGAATGTTCACTACATGCCTTACTGTTTTCTCGTACAAAGGATAAATGGTAAACAGGGTAGACATGGTTGCTGACTTCATGGAGCTTTCTTTAGAGATATACAAACCCATTAATAAAATAATTAAAAATTGTGGTCGTTGTTATGAAAAAACTAAACAGCGTGCTTATAAAATAATAGGGTGGTCAGAAACCTCTCTGAGGAGGTGACATTGAGCTAAGACCTAAAGGTCATGAGGGAGTTGGCCTATTGAAGAACAAGTGGAAGAAGAGTCTGGGCAGGGGGAGCAACATGCAAAGGATATGAGATGGGGGTGAGCTGAATGTATTTGAGGACATGAAAGACCAGTATGAATGGAGGAGTAGTGAGCAAGGGGGAGAAGGAAATGAGATGAAAGTTGAGAGGCAGGTAAGATTCAGATCATGCATGGCCTTGTAGACCATGGTGGGAGGTTTGGATTTTAACCAGTAAAAATATATATGGAAATGGGAATGAGTAGTTTCCAAGTAATGAAGACCCAGAGTCTTTCTAGGGGAATAAAGCATTCGTTTAGTCATGGATTTTATGGCATTTGAAGGAAACAAAAATGGTTCCAAGGGGCGCCTGGGTGGCTCAGTCATTAAGCGTCTGCCTTCGGCTCAGGTCATGATCCCGGGGTCCTGGGATCGAGCCCCGCATCGGGCTCCCTGCTCCGCGGGAAGCCTGCTTCTCCCTTTCCCACTCCCCCTGCTTGTGTTCCTTCTCTCACTGTGTCTCTCTCTGTCAAATAAATAAATAAAATCTTTAAAAAAAATCAATAAAATAGAAGTTCTTGGATTACTAAAGATTATGGAAAACTGTTAAGATAATTGAGATACCTTGAGATACCTGTAGTCAGCCTCGTGGTAGGTGAGGTTTCAGGAGAGCTATGAATGACGGAAGGGTATAGAATAACTAAGGGTATCTGAAGGGTATCTGAATAACTAAGGGTATGGATGAGATATTCCACAGTGGATGAGACCAGTGTTTCTGAACCAAGTGCACGCTTCAGAATTTGAAAATGGCAACAAGGACAACATACTCTAGGCTCTGCCTTAGCTCTCTTGAATTGTAATACACGGGGCATATGAAACTTTACAACATGCCAAAAAATTATGGTACATGCCTGGATTAATTAAGTATTATTGGTAAAAACCCAATAGGGAATAGGTGTCAAAGCTTTAATCTTGTAAAGTTAGCCAAAAAGGTTTATTTCTCATTATGCTAAAGTTAAACCATGGTGTTATATCTGTTTGGCCTGATGGAATGTTCTGTTTGTGTTTTGCGACCATTGATTCCCTTCTTGAGGTTGATTTTTTTTTTTTCCCTATGCCAGGCTCTATCTGTCTTGCTTTTGTCTTAATCTTGTCCTCATTTCTTTGATTCTCTCTCATTGTCTTTAGTCTTTAGCATTTGTTTCTATTAGTCTTGCATTTGGTCCTCTGGTCTCAGGTCCTTCATGTTCTTGGGCTATTCCTTCTTGGTTCCTGCTTCTTGGAGGAACCAGATTGCTTCTTATTTCAGGATGCCTGTGTTAAACGTGCAATTGCTTTTCTTTCCATTGTTTGGCCTTTTTAGGCATGATTCTGTTGCCCTGACTTTGAACTTCTTTAAGCTTGTCTTTTGTGGCTTAAAGTGAATCATGCTAGGTTGTCTGTCTGCATACCTGTAATTTCCTATTGCTGTCATAACAAATTACCACAAACATAGTGGCTTAGAACAACACAAATTTATTATCTTGTAATTCTGTACATCATACGTATGACACGGATCTCATCAGGCTAAGATCAAAATGTTTGGTGGGGCTGTGTTCCTTTCTGGAGACTCTAGTAGTAGATCCATTTACTTGCTAGGTAGGGTTGTTGGTAGAATTTGTTTCTTGCAGTTGTAGGACTGAGATTCCCATTTTCTTGCCAGCCCCCAGCAGAGGACCATTCCCAGATTCTGAGGCCAACCAAATTCCTTGGTTCATGGCCCCCTTCCATCCTCAAAGCCATCAATGGTGGATCAAGTTTCTCTCATGCTTCAGATTTCTTTTCCTTTTTCTTTCTGACCCAGCTGGAAAAGGTTCTCTGTTTTTAAGGACTCATGTAATTTGATTGGGCCCACCTGGGTAATCCACCTGCTCTCCCCATCTCCGATTCCATAACCATAATCATATCTGCAAAGTACCTTTTGTCATGTAAGGTAAAATACTCACAGGTTCTGGAGATTAGGACCTGGACATCTTCGGGGGGCCATTTTTCTACCTACCACACAACATCAAGGAATGTTTTCCTTGCTAGTTAAAATGGTCAGTTAGGGTAAATCTGAACGTTTGTGCTGTCCAAAGTGTGAATTGCTATCTCATCTCTTTCCCATCGTAGTTGACTTTTAATCCTCCCACAGTCGTTTAGTAACTGATGAGCACCTAGACTGTGCAGTGGTGCCCTGGCCTAAGACTCAGTAGTTGGTCTTCAGGGAGCTCCAGGTATACTTGCCATGAGGGAAGTAGAGAGAAGGTGCTGTGGGGATTTAGAGGAGTGAGGGAGTGCTTACACATGTCTCTTCTCTTCCCCTCTCTTCGCCGAGCCACAGAAGAACCACCTTATTTTCTAAAACAAATGGTTTCCTCTATTCTGGACCCACCTATTTTTTTCCTTTTCCTGTCAGCTGTACTTGAGCTTCTCTTTCTTCTACCTTCAGAGATACACAGTGTTGGAGAGGTGACTCAGACTCCCTGTTCACATGCCTGCCCACTTCCCAGCTGGGATGCTTCCAGGTTCCCTCTGGCTTCTTGTTGGTAGGCATTTAGTTACTGTGCTGCTGTGGTCTCTGCCGACAGGCATTCACTCAGTTATCATATTGCTGTTGTCTCCTGGTAGTCATTCACTCAATCCCAGTATTTCTTAGGGTCTCTCTTCATGGGTTCTCATTCCATTAAGTACTGCTGGAACCTCTGCTGACTGGTGTATATAGCCAGTGTCTGCTGACGTGTGTAGTCTGTAGAAATACAGAATCTGACACATGGTTCATTCCTATCTGAACAGTGAAGTCTTGCCTATAAAGATCATATGAGTCTTTATTTAATAATTGAAGGATTATTATGTGCCAGGCCCTGTGTACATTGTTACTCTAGGAGTGGTTGGTTGGGCCTGGGGCTGGGGGTTCCCATTTGGTAAACATCTTGGAGGGTAGAGAGCTCTTATGGTGACTCCCTCCCTCCTCCCCCACCTCCCCAGCTCTGCATGGTCTCTCTGAGTCTCTTCAGGACCCTACTGAACCTCAGTTGTGAGGATGTCCTGCTGCAGCTGGTTCTCAGGTACCTGTGGGGGCAGGGCTGAGGGATGGCTGATCCTGAACCCTCCAGGCCTTGTGCACTGCTGGGTGATGGGTTGTATTGGGGTTGCTCATGTGTTTCCTCTTGGAGCCTGGCTTAGTCATGTAGTTCCATTGGCTTGATGTTCTCCCAGGTCCTGTCCTTCCTGATCTATCCTGTGTCCTTTTTCTGCTGTCTTTCCCAGGTATCTTGTCCCATGTAACCATGTGATGCTGAGCCAGAAGCCAGCTGTACGTGATGTGGACCTATATGGACGGGCAGCAGACAAGTTTCTCTCCCTAATCCCACGCTGTTGTCGGCATCGTGCCCCTAGCCCACCCCATCCAGAGCATGCCTCATGGGCACGAGGTGGGCCTAGCAGAGAGGCAGGGAGAAGGGAGGACACCACGGGTATGGCCTGGGTTCTGGGGAGCCAAGCAAGAAGGTGGGACTAGGGTGGGGGGAGGGAGGTTGTGGCCATGAGTGGCATTCCATCTTTGGGGAGGTCGATGAGGGGTCTTGCAGGGTGGATTCTTAACTCCACCAAAGAAATATAGCTTCTGAGTAAAGCTGCTCCTCTTCTTCATTCCTGTCCTGTATTGTTTCTATTTTTCATTGTTTCTTTGGTGTTGGGGGTAGTGAGAGGGGGTGGTGGATGCTGAAAAGCTTAATTAGGAGGGTGGAGAATCAGCTGCCTGAATAGGTCACATGTCTTTGTTGCTTCATTGCCTTCTCTATTAGTCTCCGTAGGTGTCTTATCCTTCCTCCTAGCCCTCTGTCTCTTTGATCGCTCTTATGTTTTTTCCCTCTGTAGGCCCTGGAAGCCCAAGTGTTGACTCCTCTTCTGTGGTGACAGTGTCCCGGCCCTCCACACCATCTCGACTGGCCTTCTTCCTGCGACAGCAGAGTCTGGGTGGCTCGGAATCCCCAGTTCCAGCCCCTCGCTCACCAGGGCTTGCTGCATCCCCAGCCTCCAGCCCTGGCCGAAGGCCCAGCCCTGTGGAGGAGCCTGGTGAGCTGGAAGACAATTACCTGGAGTATCTGCGTGAGGCACGCCGTGGTGTGGACCGGTGTGTCCGAGCCTGCTGTACCTGGTCTGCCCCCTATGATGGCGAGCGGCCCCCTCCTGAGCCCAGTCCTGTTGGCTCCCGGACTAAGAAACGCAGCCTACTGCCTGAGGAGGACAGGGACAATGTGGGGGAAGGGGAGGAGGAAGAGCTGGGGAGTGGGGGGCTTGCTGGGGGTGCAGGGGAGGGCCCTGGCCTCCTGCCCCCTCCCCAGCTCAATGGGGTGCCAGGACCATGGCCTGAGGGGGCCAAGAAGGTTCGTCGGGTGCCTCAGGAGGGAGCTGGGGAACTGCCAGAGGGCACTTCCGAGGGCATGGCAGGACTAGAGGGCTTTGGGCAGGAGCTCCGGGAACTTGAGGTGGCATTGAGCAATGGGGGGGCTGGCTCAGAACCCCTGCTAGAGCCTCCACTACCTCTTGAGGAGGAGGAGGCCTATGAGAGCTTCACCTGTCCCCCCGAGCCCCCTGGCCCCTTCCTCAGCAGCCCTTTGCGGACTCTCAACCAGCTGCCAAGCCAGCCCTTCACTGGTAAGCTACTTAGCCTAGGCCTTCTCCTTTGTGTACTCCTTGCATGTACTTGACATGTTTGTGCTAATATCTGAGACTTCTTGGCCATGTCGTTTCCGTGTACTTGCCTAGCTCCTCATCCATTTTGCTTGGGTCCATTCCAGATACATATTCTGTTGTACTTATGTCTCTGTGTTTGTGTATACGTCTTCCATGCTTGTGCTGGTTTGAGTATTGATTTATGTCTGAGCCTTGTATGTCTGTCCAATGTGCATGTTCCTCCTCTTCCCTAGTCTGGCCATTTCCTGGGATTGTGATCAGGATGTTTTGTGTTTGGTGTTTCCTGGTGAATCACAGCAATATATCTGAACAATATATATGGAGTCATACATGCTATTCTGTATGTGAGGCACCTGTAAGCCATGCTGTTCCATGCTGTTCCCGTGTTTGTCTTGGGTGTTGGGTCTCCTGTCAACTTTTCTGCCCAGGATCAGCTCTTCTGGTGTTTTTCCTGTACTCTGCCCTGGCCTCCTTTCTTCTCCCTGTCTTCTCAGAGAAGGACTCAATTTCAGGTTTTTCCGGTTCTCTGTCCTTGTACCTTGTTGGTTGCTATGACTACCCAGTAAGACTTTCTTCAAGTCTTACAGTTAATAGTAAGGACTGAAGCAGATAGAGTGAAATACCTCTTTGAGGGCAAATGACAAAAGTGTGGCCCTGAGCTCCCGAGCGGAGTTCTTTTGGTCTTTCCAAAGACCCTGGAGCTAGACCTGACCTGAGTGGCCGGGCTAACTCCTCTTTGGTTTTTGTTTGAGAGCCGGCTCAACCATTCCTGCTCTTACCTGGTTCTTATCCTTACTCTCCTTACTCTAGGGGCCAAAAAACCACTTCTAAGAAGCAACGTAGTGCTTTGGACTAGACATACCTTGAATTAGTGTCTGTTCATATCACTGCTGCATTTAAACAACTTACCGAGATGCTGGTGCATTGGGAGAACTCAGCACATGGTAGCTTTTTACTAGGATTATCATCTCTTGGGTGCATGGCAGATGTAAGTTGACCAAGGTATCCACCCTTCTTCTGGTTGTTTGCAGTCAAGTTATCATGCCTTGATCAGTCCATGTCCTAACTGGGCCTGGGATATTCTGCCATCCTTCTTGTACAACACCAAAGCTTCTGCTCGAGAGTCCTGACAGTTCCCTCTTGCAGGCTACAGAAAATGGCTTTCCATTTGTTTAGGCTTTGCTCCTTCCTGCTCAGTACCACCAGAAGGTGGTATGCAGGTTTTACCACATTGTTGAAGTGTCCCTTTTCTTCTTTGTAAACTCATCTGAGCTTTTTGAATTTTCTCTTGCAAGAGAGTCTCAGGAAATGAGAGAAACAGAAGGACAAAGTTATGGGGTATCTTAGGGACCCTGTTAAACTAGGGTTGTATGGAGCTAAGGCTAATCATGTGCATCTGGAGTGGAGAATGTTCTAGGATCTTTTTCAGAATTCACTGCCTCTTTCCCTTCATTGTTCTCCTGTCTTAGTTCATAGTGCAGTTCTTAGGTATAATCCCTTTTCCTCACAGATCCCTGGTCAGACAGACTGTGATGATTCTAGTAGATCATTCTAATCCCTTCTGTTTTCCTCTTCCCAGCACTTTGCTTAATCAATTTTCTCTGGCTCTGAACTAAACTCTTTTACCTTCTTGGTTCTTAGTTCCTGAACAGAGCTGATTTCTTCTTTGGCCTTCCAGAGATTTCTCCCCCTATCTTGAAGTTGGCCTGTGTAGTAACCTTTGTCTTTGCTACAGTTCATTCTTGCTTTCTTCTGACCTAGGTGTAGTGCTGTCCTCTGTCTTGTGTGTAACCTGATTCTTCTTTTGGTCCCATTCACTTTCTTGTTCTTTTTCTTTTGTGCCTCTTGGGTGAAGCTTTTTTAAAAAACTGAGAGATGTTATGTAGCTTATAGTTATTACTGAATACGTATAATTTGCTAGATCTTGGGCTAACTGCTTTATAGGAATATCTTTTGATCCTTTTAGTAATACTGTGAGGTGGGTATATTTCATTTTGCCAAGTAGGAAACTATGCTTGGAGAATTTTGATTCATCCAGTAACCTGTCAAAGATAAACCTGGAATTTGAAACCAGGTCTTTCTGACTCCAGAGCCTATGATCTGGCTCTTCATCTGAAGTGTGTGTAAAGCTGGCATCTGGACTCTTGTGGGTCTATCTGGTGTCTGCCATTTCATCTCCAGAGTAGGTGATCACAGGATATTTAAACATACCCAGAGACTGACCTACAAGTAATTTTCATCTAGTGGTTGGGGTGGTCTCTTGGTTTTGGGAAGAATGAGCACGATGTGCATTGTGTTTAGGCCTTGTATCCTTGTACCCACCCCTCCCAGGCCCCTTCATGGCTGTGCTCTTTGCCAAACTCGAGAACATGCTGCAGAACTCCGTCTATGTCAACTTCCTGCTGACGGGGCTGGTGGCCCAGCTGGCCTGTCACCCCCAGCCCCTGCTCCGCTCTTTCCTGCTCAACACCAACATGGTCTTCCAGCCCAGTGTCAAGTCCCTGCTGCAGGTGTGCGATGCATGCATGCATGGGTGCGTCTAGGCTCCGTGGTGGGCCAGGCCCGCAGCTGGAGTGGCCCTGGGGGGCTGGGAACAGGCCCAGGGGGACTAGAAAGGACTGTCAGTCTAGAACTACACAGAAATGTCATGAAGTTGTGCTTCATAGGTGCTGGGTTCTGTGAAGAATAAAATTGAGAGCTTTGCGGCCTCCCAGGAGGACTTCCCAGCACTGCTATCCAAAGCCAAGAAGTACCTCATTGCCCGTGGCAAGTTGGACTGGGCCGAGGGCCCTGCAGCAGGACCTGCCCCCCGCCGCTCCGATCCCCTAGGTGAGGCCTATCCCACCACTCCACCCCTCTCCCTGCCTTCCCTAGACAGCTAATTAGTCCGGGTTAATTAGCTCTTACTAAGGGTGAAGTCTTGTGCCATGAACTGAGGAGTTGCAGAAAATTGAGTCTTGATGTTTGTCGTCTGGCTCTAGTCAGAGGGTAAAATACAGTTATGTCCACCAAGAGCCAAATTAGCACCAGCAAAAACTGTTCTAGGAGTTGAGGATAGGCAAGGGGACAGAGTGGTCTCTAGGTTGAGGTATGGTTACGGCTTGGGAAAGGACATGGTATTTGACATGGTCCTTGAGAGATAGGACTTGGGTAGGCAGAGGAGTGGGGTGGCTTTATTCTTTTGTCCAGGGGACCACATGAACTATTTAGCTGGAGCAGGGGATTTAGAAGGTGGTGGAATAGCTTATAGTAAGGCTGGAAAGATTTGGCCAGAGCATTAGGTGCTCAGATTAGAAGTTGGGCTGGGTAGAAGTTGTGATCTTTTAGGCAGTGAGAACCCATTGGAGGTTCTTAGATAGGAGAGTGGAGAGATAAGCATGTTAGTTCACGTGCACCCAGGAGAAAACAGAGTGCAGCTGTGACCAGCAAGGCTTGAATTAGAATAGTGGAAACAGAAAGGAAGAATTAGATAAGGTAGAAATGGGAAGAAAGTATTGGCAGAGTTTGATGAATGGTTGTGGGGTACAAGGAGGAAGGAAAAGTTAAGTATGACCATGCAGCTTTAAATCTAGATCTTCCATCAGCAAGTGTCTGAGTACTTGCCGTATTTGCTCTCCATTGTCTTTGGTACAGGGGACTCGGGGAGTGGTACAAGGACTCAGAGAGTAGGTACAAGATGAGACCTTTGCTTTCTAAGAGCTGACAGTCAGTCTAGAGGAGTGACTAGAGAAGTGTCATTAACTGAGAAAGGAAGGTCCCAAAATGTGGTGGATGTAGTGGGATCCAGTGTACCAGGACAGGATTAACTTTGGATGGGAAAGGTTTTTTTTTTCCCCCTTTGAGGCAAATGAGGGATAGATCAAAGGAGGAAGTGATATGTATCCATGGAGTTGTGAGGTGCAGAGGGGAAGGACAGGAATTGAAGTACTTTATTTGCTAATCAAAGTAGGAGGCAAAATAATATGCTAAGAGCAAGAGAGCAGGGGTGAGCTGGAGGATCTTGAGAAATGTGGGTTGGGAAGACAGTACCAGAATGGTTCTTGCACAGCTGCGAAAACCCAGCTGATGTTCCTTAGCATGATTTCCTCATGGTACAGCACTGTGAATGTATCTTATTTCCATAGTTCTGGTACTGTGTTCACTGTGGAGGTAGATAAGAGTCTGAGCCCTTGAGCTCACAGATTACTGTATGAGATAGAAGACCTATACACAAGCCATTACAATACAGTGTGATAAAGGCGGTGAAATGGGAAGGCAGTGGACGGCAAATCAGAGGAGGTTTCTCAGAGGGGTGGGGAGAATGAGATTAGGCCAAGGATGAAAACAGTGGGGAGAGTAGAATTAAGGCAGAGAGGGCTACAGAAGCATAAAAAGAGCCTGGAAGGTTTCAGGAAGAACAGATAGGTATGGGTACAAAAGCAGAGGAGGGTGTGAAGGGTTTGGAAGAAGGGTTGGAGGGGCATGTGAGCCTGGTTGTGAAGGGTTTTGAATGCCATATTTAGTAGATTTGTGTAGCATATTTCTGTAACCAGTGTTCGAGATAGAGAATGGGAACTGTAGCATGATCTAGAGACTAAATCCCTACAGTCTAGGCCCTATATATTGGGCAAAGATCCAGAACCAGTAATCTAGGAAGATAATTAGAGGAGAGAGGGCAACATTTTAAATGGTTCATTTGAGTCTAAGCTGAGGTGAAGTTGTCTGGCCACATGAAGTTGTCTAAGCTGACGTGAAGTAGGAGGTTGGCTTTGGTGGATATAGGAGGGGGGCTGGTGGTAGGCGAAGTGGTGGCGCAGGAGAACAGATTTTGGAAGGGTAGTAGAGTATGAGACAGGGGGTAAAGCCCCGGAACTGTGATTGCATTTATGGCCCTGTGGGTGTGGAAGGAGCAGAGGATGTGGGTCATGTGTTATAGAGAGGCAGAGGGAAGCTGGAAGTGGTCGGCTCCAGTTCAGGAGCATAACGTGAGGGTGTGTTACAGACTGAGGAGACATAGCTTAGAGATGGTAGAATAGCGTTTGGAGAGGGAGGAGTATTAAGAGTCCCTCAGGGTGAGAGCGCGTGGAGAAGGGGTCTTGGTTGGGAATGAAGTGGCTGTGGTGTTGACTGACAGAAGACCGAGGGTGCTGGTTGACTGGGTGGGGAGGCTGGATAAAGGGAAGAGGGCTAGGCAGGCAGCATTTTGGTTTTCGAGTCCTAGTTGAGATGTCCCTGAACCCAGGGAGGGGGGCATCTCTCTCAGACCGAGGGAGTGTGCCTGACCCCCGCACCTTCATGATCCCCAATACCCATTTATTCCCAGTGAAGAGCCGGAGGCCGTCCTTGGGGGAGTTGCTCCTGCGGCACGCGCACAGTCCAACCAGGGCCCGGCAGGCGGCACAGGTGGTTCTTCAGCCTGGGAGAGACGGCGCAGGACTTGGCCTGGGGGGGGGCTCCCCAGGGGCTTCAACTCCGGTTCTGCCCCCTCGGGGTGGGGCCCCTGAGCGCCAAGGTGAGGCTCTGCGAGTCAAGAATGCGGTCTACTGTGCAGTCATTTTCCCTGAGTTTCTCAAGGAGTTGGCTGCCATCTCCCAGGCCCATGCTGTCACCTCGCCTTTCTTGTTGGATGCTTCAGAGGAGGGATCTGGCCCTCCTTTCTCAGGCTTCGGGCCCCTCAATCCTTAACTTTCTTCCATGGACAATCAGGGCCTCATGTGGCTTGGGCCGGGGCCGCCGGTGTAGGCTCCTTTTTATGTTTGGAGGCAGTGGCAAGAGGACTTTTTAATTTATTTCTGATGAATGTTTTATGGAGAACTTGTTGCAATATGTATAAAAGGGAAATCTCTATTCTGTGCTCATTCTTCTTTCCCACCCTTTTTTCTGGGGCTGTGGTCCCAGGAAGGTTGTACATAAATGGGGAGGTCAGGGGTACTTTGTCTCTCGTGAGGACATTGGTGCCGAGGTTTCGAGGTGCTTCTCATGCCCTTAAAGGGTGAGGGGGTCATGGGGCCTAGGGGAAAAAAGTAGGGACTCTCCATCAGCCCCCAGAAGGAAGAAGCAGCATGGGCCAAGGATGGTTTTGGGGAGCAGCAGCTGATGTTTATTGGGGACCAGTATCCCTATGCCAGATATTGGGGGCCTCGCCCCCTGCATCTCTCGCTTCAGCTTCATTCGTCGCTGTCGAACTCTGAGGACAGACCCTGCAGCAGGGGCAGGGACATGGAGTGCCGGTCGGGGTCCCCGGGGCCCCCACCCTGGACTCCTGGTGGGGGGCTGCGGGGACTGAAGAGCCAGTTCTCTGCCAGGGTTGGGGATAGTCACAGCTTGACTCATGCCCTGGTCTTTCTGCCTCCCTGGTCCCTCCCTGGCCCTCTGCGCTGTGCCCACCCCCTCACCAGGACCATGCTTCCCCCTCGTTACCCCTGGCTCCCTCACTCCATCCCCCTCACTGGGATCCAGTGTGGAGTGAGGGGTGCCCCACACATTCCTGGGCACACACTCCTATATTCCCCATGCCCTCTCCCCTTTACCCGATCTCATCCCTCTCAGCTTCATATCCTCTAGCAGTACCTGACAACATCTGGGGCCCCCTGCGGAAGGGGTTTCGGCCCCTGTAGGAGAATCTGGTGGGCCTGCCCTCTGGCCCTTCCTGAGGAGGTGGTGTAGGTGGGGCTGGGACAGGCGGGGGTACATCAGTAGCTTCAGGGGTATCGGCAGCGACTGATGTGGGGGCCAGAGGTGGCATGATGCCGAGGTTGGGTCTGACCCAGTTGGCACCGTGGGGCAATGGATCTTTGGTCAGAGGCTTCTGTGGTCCCAGCACTCCTTTGGGGTGCAGTGAAAACTTGAGGCAGGAGAAGGCAACAGGCAGTGACCGTTGTAACCGGAGCAGCTGGGGCTCACGGGCTGTAGGCAACAGCTCCAGCTGTAGCCAGGAACAGGAGAAGACCTGGTAGATGACATAGATGCTGTGCGTACTTCGGAGCCAGGGAAGGTTTTGCTGTAGGCTCACCTGCCCTGGCGGCAGTAGCAGGAAGGCCACCTTCTTGCGCAGGCCACCCATGTGCAGGCGGATCCGGCAGGGCTGCCCATCCAACAGTCGCATTTCTTCATAGGGTATCTCTGCTCGGCCGTTTGGTGAGTATTCCCGAGTGCAGTGGGCAAAGGCACCCTCAGACCCTGCCTGCTCCAGGAGGTTTGGTAGTGGCCCCACTGGTTGTAGTGCCCGCCGACCCTGCCAACCTGGTAAAGCCAGGCGGATGTGGGCTGGGCGGGACTGCTTCACTAGCACACCCAGTAGGTCATAGCAGGCTGCATCCGACAGGAAAGGTACCGCCACTACATTGGGCCCAAAGCGCTCCTCGATAACCTGCAGATGGCCAGTTTACAGGTCAGGGACTGAGTTAGGGTCAGGAGTTACCTGGTAGCCTATTCTAGATTGACCCTCCCATTGTTCACTGTGCAATTACATCTCCACAACGTGCTCAGGCTGTTATGCTTTCTGCTTATTTTATAGTTCTGTCCTGTAGCAAAACCTTGAATGTCTACTATGTGTCAGACCCTGCTGGATACTGGGAGTACATAAAAGCATGAGGCTTTGACCATGTCTTATTATAGCTCAGTCTAATGGAGGAGATGAAGATGTAGACCGTAGTCAGCTAAGTAAAATAATAGAGAGCAAGGTTAAATCACCAGAAGTGATTTAACAGCCTTTGTCTTTGATAGAAGAGGATCAGAAGATTTCTAGTTTCTAGGTGGTAGTACTTGAGTTTTGAAGGAAGTAGTTAGGTAGGAGGATGGTCAATCCAGGGAGAGGATACAGCCAGTTAAAAAACCTGAACTTACAAACCAAGAAGGGCACATTCAGGAACACATCATTTCGTAGTACTTAAACATAGGGTCTGAAGAGCGACAGGCACACAGGAACTAGACGATGAAAGATCTAAAGTGTGCTAACTGACAGGAATTTGATCCTGAGGGCAGTGGAAAGCCATTTGAAGGGCTCTGGGTGAGAGGGACGGGATCAGAAAGGTGCTTTAGAAAGTTACTTTTGAATAGCAAGACAAAATAAGGAGAGGAAGATCGGGTAAGAGTATTGTATAACTGCAAGCAGAACATGGTGAGGCCTTCAACTGAAATAGAACTTTAGGTTATAGAATTAGTAGAACTTGGTCAGTTAAGGAGTATGGGAAAAGGAATCATGAAGGATTAGTCTTAGATGATTGGTTAGATGATTGATGTCGTTCACTACAATGGGTATACAGAGATAGGTTTGGAATGACCATTCTTCAACATCTTCTGCCCTGGCTACAGGGAGTAGTTCTTTTAGGGATTTGAGGCCTCATCCTTGTAATGCTGTCCCAATAAGCTTTTAGGGATTCTAGTTCCTCTTGGTTTTGTCCTTCTTGTCTTGGCTTTTTTGGTTTGATAATCCAGTTCTCCAAAGTTTAACTTCATGACCAACTGGGAAACCTTGTAAGATCCTCTCTAGTAATTGTACGCAGGTATGATCTCGACTCATTAAAGATATTGCTGGCCGAGACTTCTGGCTCTGTGTTCTGCTAGGGAGTACATAAAATTCCCTCTTTGGGTCCCTTTCGTGTTTGAGATCTATTCTGAAAATACTCTGTTCTACTCCCCTTCCTCAGCCCTGAATTCCCACATGTCTGTCTCCCTACTGCTGGCATTGCCCACTTTGCTGGTCTTCTGGTAGAATTCATCAATGATCCCTTAAGGCCAATCTGTTTTTTTTTTTTTTTTTTTTTTGCTACATAGAGCTGTTTTAGAAGTGCTGCCCCACAGCGTAAGAGGAGGATAGCTAACTGATGGAGTTGTGTCTGCACTTTGTCACCTAGCCAAGGAAATAAATGGTGCTCTTTCTTAATGTGCATGGAAGAATTTCCCATCATTCCTGTGCTTCATTGAGACATGGAATACTTTCTTTCTGGTGGGGGCGTCAGGCTGAAGAACAGGACTCTGAGAAGGTTCATTTGGGTTTCCCAGGGGTGACAACAGGGCACTGGTGGGTTGGCATTTTTGTATAGAATGCTCTGTCCCATGACAAAAAAAGCGTAGTCACCAAGTATAACTTCAGAATCCTACCCTAGCTGCTCCTTTGGTCCCTAGGATCCTATACAAATAAGACAAATATAGGAGTGTCCCCAGGAGGTATCTCTCTAATAGGATTTTGAGAAATACCTGGTTCTTATGGTCTAAGTGTCTGCTAAAAGGTGAATCCCTAATTTAGCTGGAGGCTTTTTCCCAGAATATAGACATGAATTTGCCTTGGGGGTGGGGGACGGTTATTAGGCCCTATTTCTTACCCTTGAGGCCCCCAGTAGTTATCCTAAAATAGGGAAAATAAGATTTCTATGCTAGGGTGACTGTTCTTGGTAGAGTCATCATTTGAGAACACTACTTGTTGTTCCCATTGCAGTTTTATTTCTGGGTGAAAGTTCTATGGAACATAGAGGCCTGCAAATTTAGATCTCTCAGGGGCAGCCCGGGAAAATGAAAAGATAGTGAGGAAGACTATCTTCCTGGATGTACCTTGGCTGGTTTGAATTCTGAATGAGGAGCTCTTGAGCCACATTCTTGTTAGCTATAGGTTCTACAAAGTGCTCGGTAAACTCTCAGCAGTTCTGGAGGGAGGAAACCAGGTCACTCAGAGGTGTCCTGCTCCTTGAATTTGCCACATACGACAGTGATTTATTCTGAATCTCTGCCTTTCCTGACAATTTTCCATTTAAATAGGGAATTTTTCTGATGCTGAGAGATAGTGTAGCTTTCTACTAGTTGATGATCACATTTACTTTCAGCCTAATGAAATGCTTGAGCTTGTCCGGACCAACCTTTTACACTGCTGAAGCCAGGTACTTTGATACTTGGGAGGGCCTTTACTTTCCTGTTTCTCCTTCCCTGGGAAGCTGACCCTCGTGGTGAGCTGCTGCTTCATTTCAAATGGGAGCCACGTGAGCCACATGCTGTTAAGGCTGCTTTGAGTCTGGTCGGCACTACTTTAAGATGGTGGTTTTAAACTTGGTGGGCTGCCTTCCACTAGTGCTTGAAATTCACTATCCTTCAGGTTACATAACTGGAACCTGATCCCCAAATTCTCCAAGTTCAGAAATTGTAGCCATCTAGATTTGGTGGGATTTGTTGGGTACCTGCCACTCAGATACAGCTGACATCTGCCTGCTCCTAAAAATCTACATATTTTGCTCAAAACCCAAATTTCCCATTCTGTGGAAGTTAAAGGTGGAGGAGGTATCTGTGAAGAGGTTGAAGTTCCTTTAGAAAGTTTAAAGGGCCCTTCTTGATCAGCCCCTGTACCTTTTTGACCTCCTTTTCACTACCCATTTGAACTCTATTCTAGAGGATCATTTGCCGTTCACAAATATGCATTTTTCTTTTTCCTCTCCTGGCTTTTGCATATGCTCTACCTTTAATTAGGACACCGTTCACTTACCCACACACCCACCTGCTCATTAACTCATTTAGTTGTTTAGTAAGCACCATTTATGAGTCAGTAATTCCTTTACCCTGTACATGAGAATAATTTCTATTTGCCTAGCTAGAATATCACTCCCCAGGAAATCTTCCTGACCTCCTAAGCCCTACCCTGACTTAGCACTTGTTTCAGTTTTCCTCGATTCCAGTTGCCTTTCAAGGAACCTCTTACTGTTTTTCCAATTGTGATGAAATTGGACACTGTATGCAAAGCACTTCGTGCAGTGCCTGGCATGTGAACAAGCCCTGAGTAAATATTAGTTGTTATTATCTTCAGGCTTCCCACCCCTTCCTACTCATAAGTTGCTCAGACCCATACTCATGCTCAAGGATGATGGGCTGGGGTCTGGGGTCACTTTCTTTTTGGCCCTCTTACTTTATCCTTGATGAGGGTCCAGGTGGCATCAGCTTCATCCAGGGTCAGCAGGTGGGGGGTACCAACCAACATGATGGGGTGTGGGAGGGGTTAGGCAGGGCAGTGGCTGCTGCAGGAACCCCAAGTTGCCTAGGGAGGTGAGGCCCCAGGCCTTAGGCTTTGACCTACTACAGCATGAGGTCATAGAGGTCCTGTAGATAATGGGGCCTTGGGTGGGGAGAGGGCAGTTACTTTACTAGCCTCACTATGCCCACAGCCCGGGTCCATATCCATAATCTTTTTAAGAACAGAAGTCCTTATCCATTCTCCTCCTTAGGGGAGAAGAATGCAGGTCTGTTTGGGTGCATTTGTATATGTCTGTGTGTGCTTGCATGAGTGCATGTGTGCATGTGTATGTGTTTTTTTCTTGGTCTGAGTTCTTTAAGGAAGCAGAATCAGGCTTCCCTCTTCAGCAGCCTCCTGAAGCAATTTACTGTGTTATCTTATCAGCTGCAGATAACTTCTTTGTGAGGCTAGATAGGGGTCTTGAAGGACGTGGGAGAAGTTTAAATCAGGACTTAAGACTGAGAACCAAGCAGTAGTTCTCAACCTTGGTCATATTTTGGAATTACCTGGGAGCTTTAAAAACTATAGATACCTGGATCCTACCCCCCAGGGATTCTGATTTAATTGGTTTGGAGTGTGCCTAGGCATCAGGATTTCTAAAAGCTCCTCAGGCAATTCTGATGTGCAGCCTAGCTTGAAACCCATTATTAATGAGTGGGTTACAATTGCAATGAAAACCAGGTGTGTGTGTAGGAGGGTGCCATATGAGTGGTGACAATGTGGAGGATAAGAATCTAATTGGGATAATGTTGCCTTAGTAACTGGAGAGGACTTTCAGGAAGCCAGAATTACCCAGGTAAATTTGAGGAAATTTTTTTTCATGTGCCACTCCCTGTCCTAGGCTGATCTGTGTCTACCTGGCACTCTCCTCCTACAGTCCTAATCTGTGTGTGATTTTCCCCTTGTGTCTCTGTCCAGAGATCTCAGCCTGGTGTTTGCTGGAAAGTGGTTTTTCCTTGGAGAACCACCACTCTGGAGAGCCTTTCTAGTAGCTACTCTCCCACTCTGCCTCTTACCTGTCCAAAGAGTCTTCTCTTGAGTCCCTATGGAGAGTCTCCTGTGTGCCCAGGAAGACCGTTTCTGTATGGGGAGCATCCTTTCCTATCCTGGCCCAGCATGTAGGGCTGTCCCATAAAGTTGGCCATCATCTGAACTAGCTGAAGTGGTATGAGGATAAGGCATGGGGAATGGTCCTACATGATGTAACTGGCCTCAGGGGAGGGTAGGCCTCTGTAGACAGAACTAACTGTATGGGTGCTAGGTGTTTACGCAAAGATTTGACAGTGGGCATGGGACTGTGCTCCAGGAGAGGACTTGATATCAAATATTTGTTGAAGTTGTGTATGTTAGGGGCTATGCCAAACACTTTGAATCCATTATCCTGGTAATTCCTTTTAGTAACCTCTTGAGGTAGGTACTATTATTTCCTCATTTTACAAGTGAATTAACAGGCTCAGAGAGGTTAAGTAGATTAGTGCAAGCGATACAGTGAGTTAATGGAGGATCTGGGATTCAAATCCAAGTCGGCCTAATTCCAGCTTTTAAGTTAAAATTTGAATGGTAGTTCTTTTTGGTGAAGGAAGAAATTGCTGTATCCCTTCTGTTCTCTTGAGTGTGTGGTGGGAGGGCGCCTGCTCAGTGGATATGCAAAGTCGTGTAGTGAAAAGGAAGTGGGCAGGATGAGAGAAATGCTGCAATAGGCCAATCCAGAAACCCCAAGCATCTTTTCAGGGCAGGCAAAACCAAATTTCTTCCTCTAGTGCCCTCCTAGCCCTACACCAGGAGAGGTCATCTGGTGTAGTATAGTTGGCACTTCTGTTCCCTCCAGAAAGGAATCCTGAGTGAGGTAGACAGCAGTGGGGGAGAGAGACATACACCAGGACAAGGGACACAGATGTGGGGCAAAACAGACAGTGCAAGGAGGCAGAGATGCAGAGATACAGAGACAGAGAGTTACTGATAAACACAGGCAGAGAATGATGTACATCCATATCCTAAGGGGATTCCAGAATGAGAAGGGGGTGGATAGGGGAGGGACAGGGATGATGGGCTGTTGGTGAAATGTGAGGAGGATCTCTTTCAGATTTTCACAGAGGGGCTAACAGGGGGGAAATTGGGTATAGATGAACTCCTCAGTCAGAAGCCCATATCTTCATCTCTTCTGATGATGATTCTTTAAGCTCCCTGCATTCCACACTGCCCTAAGTGAGACTGTCTTTCCCTTTGGCTCATAGAGTCAGATTGAAAGTTGCTTAAGGAAAACAAATGACAACTGAGTTCTGGATGGGGTTGAGCCTAGGAGTGGGCTGTTTGGTCATAGCCTGCTCATGGGGTTGCCTCCAGTGTGGCACATTCTGGGGTTTCCCTGGACACAGATCATCTGCAACATATCTGAGTGGTGCCTGGATTGGAGAGCATGAGAGGAACAAACAGGCAGGGCTGGTTATTTAGGGAACATGGGGTTCTCTGCAAAAACCTCTAGAGTAGTATAGAATAGTGTTGATAGCAGAGCCTTTGGAGGGATAAAGAGTCTTGACCAGTCTCTTCACTTCTCTCAGGCTACAGGGATAACTGTACAATCCCTGATCCCTTATTTGAAACCTTTAGGGATAGATGTGTTTTGGACTTCAGATTTTTTCAGATTTTAGAAAGGGAATATAGTGCCTTTATCATATATAAAGGAATACTCCAGTGAGGTTTAGGGCAGTGCCCTATAATCAAACATCAATATTTCTGAAGCTAAATGTATGAATATTCACACCAAGTAAGATAAATAAATACTATAAATACCATCCTGACGTTTCAGGTCAGGTTTTGGACCAAAGTTATAAAAAAAACTATTGTTTCTTCAGAGATTTTTTTTTTTTATTTTGGAATTGTGGATAAGGGATTATTCTCAGGTTATTGTGAGGAGTAAGGGAGTGCTGGTAGTCTTCTAAACATATCACATGGTAGGTGTGTATCTCAATCCAAAACAAAATACTCATGTCCAAGGGGGTGGATTTTTGGCTTGAAGAAAGAAGGTTCTTGCAATGAACAATGCACAACTTTGGAATCAGCTGCCTTGAGGGGCTGTGCACAACCAGGGAATGAAGGTGCCTTAGACAAGAGGTTTCCTGTGGTGGGAAGGTGACAGAATTCATTGCTTATGAACATTGACTGCCTAGGATTTCCCTTTTCATGTACCAGAGGGGAAAGGCAAAAAATGTGCGTGTGTGTGTATGTGTGACACAGGACATCACATATACATTTCTTTATAATAATGTTGTAATAAATATCTTACTGCATACATCTGTGTTTACATCTCTAATTATTTTGTCAGGATAGATTATTGAAGAGGAATCCCCGAGAGAAGGTTATGGACGTCTTAAAGACTCATGACCAGTTAGGGTTAGGATTTTGTCACAGTTATCCACAAAACCATTGCCTGAGTTTTTTAACTCAGAACCTCATGAAAAAGATTAGTCTTGAGAATGACTAAGCCCACACTCAAGGACAACTGTAGATCTCAGTGTGACAACACCTCTGAAAATCCTGCCAAGTTTCTGCACTGTCTCTTCAGCTCTGCGCTAATGAGGACCTGGTAAGACCCCACGTGGCCCTAGAGAGGATATCACCTGCTTTTTTAGATCTGCAGCCTCCTCTTCTGTGTGGTGTCCCATGGTGTTTGGTCCAGCTATCTGTGCTGAGTGGTCAGCACTACACTTGCCTTTAGGTCTTCATGGCTGACTCCAGTACCTGTGGTTATGATAGTTTTCCCAGAGAGCTTGGGTCTGCCTGTGCAGCGTGCAGCTTTCTCCGACCTTATAATGGTGAATCCCTGTGTTTTGCCTGAGATTATATTCATTCTCGGCTCCATGCTGGTGTGAAAGATCTTTTGTGCAATGTCCCTTCCAGTGTAGAGTCTTAGCCGAAAGTCAGTCCGCTGTTGGGCAACACCGTGACACTTATTGTGTAATATCTCTATTTTCTGTTAGCCACAATGGAGCAAAATATTCCTATTTAATCATATTGTACCAACATCATGTGCTTCTAGTGATGTTGACCAGGACAAATGGGGGTGCTGATGTGGATTTTATTTGGGAATTCAGCGTTCTTGGCTGAGGATGCAGAGAAGAGCAAACTGGTAAGAGACCACAGTGACTGGACCTCAGGCAAGCAGGTGAAGTGGTTATGATTTCCTGGGATATCAAAATTTCTTTCAGTTGGACCTCTGACCCCTATGGCTGTAGGCCCAGGAGGAGAAGTTCTAGCAATTAATTCTTGAGATATTCACAGGAGAGTGGGGGTAGGGGAAATAGTAATTACACATGAGACCAAGAGGATTCTCTGGACTGGGAATGGCAAAGATCAGTGTGCTGGCCAAATTTGGGACCCCAATCTGGGCACATTATCCAGAATAAGCCTGTAACTCTTTCCTTAAGGACAGGCTGAAAATAGAATCTGGCTGTAGAAACGGAGAGGGCTGTGATCCCAGACAAGTAGACAAAGACTTGCCTCCTGAGGCAGTGTCACTGTTCCCAGACCCCCAGGTCTAGCATCTGTAGAGGAGCTTTTGTGTGGAACCATGGGGAGACTTAGGTTAAAATGATGGAGGTGGGGGGGGAGAGTTTTCTTTAAGTTAAATCTTGTGTACTATGAACCATGGTAATTCCTGATCTTATTTTCCTGCATGGTAACGTGTAGCCCCCTGCCTCCTGCCTCCCGAGCAAAATACGTGGATAGGCCAAAGCCTGCAGATGCTAGTGATAATGTAGAGACTTCACAGCAAATATTTGCTGAGTGGTTATCATAGTCATATGTATGTAGTAGGTAAAGATGATATAATCCACATCTCTAGGCCCTAGACTCTTCTGTATGTCCCCTCACCTCCACCAGCAGGCTCAATTGTTTTCTGCCCATTAGAACTGGCTTTTTCTGACTGTGAAGGTTTCCAGGAGCCGGTCCCTGATTTGCTTGGTGCGGACCCCATAGATGAGTGGGTTGAGGGCAGGTGGCAGCAGCAAATAGATGTTAGAGAGAAGAATGTGCACAGGCTTTGGGACGGTGTGACGACCAAAGTGGTGTGTGAGGTAGGAGAAGAGACCAGGTACATAGAAGGCCAAGATGACACAGATGTGAGAACTACATGTGCCAAAGGCCTTGGCCCGGGCCTCCCGGGTAGGCAGCCGCAGTACAGCGTGGGCAATGAGCCCATAAGAGGCAGTGATGCCCAGGAGATCTATACCTGACACGGCCAGTGAAAGCGCCAGCCCATACAAATTGTTGGCCCACATGGTGCCCACCACAAGCTCTACCACTGCCATGTGTGCACAGTAGGCATGATCTATGGTTTTGGCTTGGAAGTGCTCAAATCGTGCCACCAGCAGAGGGAAAGGCACGACAATAGCCATGGCTTTCAGTGCCAGTGCCAGTGCTGCATAGCCTACACGGGCTTTGGTGACCAGGAGAGGGTAATGCAGTGGACGCCCTACCGCCACAGCACGATCACAGGCCATGGCCAACAACGCACCAGATTCCACAGCAGTCAGTGCATGCACAAAAAACATCTGGGCCAGGCAGGCAGCATATGGCACAGGCCGGGGCCCGAGCCATAGCACAGCAAGCAACCCCGGGGCTATAGATGTAGCTAAGCCCAAGTCTGTGGCTGCCAGTGTGGCCAGGAGTAGAAACATGGGCTGCTGCAGTGTGGAATCTATCTGCACCAATGCCAGTAGTGTTCCATTGCCCAGCAGGGCCAGCAGATACATGGGCCCAAAGACAAGTGTCAGCCAGGCCTGGGCACCCCCTGGCCCTGGAATGCCAGTCAGTATGAAGAAGGTTGGGCGTGGGAAGGTGGAGTTGGGATGTGGACCTTCTGCCATCCTGTGGGGGGCAAAACTTTAAGGCTCATGGGGGCATGACTTCTGATAGGGGAGAGACGGGGAGAGATTTTGGAGGGTGTCACAGTGACACAGACCCATCCATGGGGTATGTGTAGGGGTAGTGCAGGGTTGGGGGATCACAGGGTTATAACTTTTGGTTGGGGTTTTGGATGGATAATCAAGGTCACTACCCCAGCTTGGATGGGAGAATCCTTTGTGCCTGAAAGCCCATGAGTGTTATAAGGGAAGAAATGGGGAGACACCAGTATTGAGAAAGGAAGGCCTCCCTGTTGCAGTGGCTGCTATAACTGGAGGTCACCTGAGAGTTGGGGCTGAGATGAATGTTTTTCTTCCTCAGGATCCAAAGTAGAGTCCGTCTCAGTCTCTCTAAGGTGGGGAGAAAGCCAGAGCTGGTTGGGGATCAGGCCCCAGGCTGCACTGTCCTTGACTTACATCCTTAGGCAGAGCTCCTGGCCTCAGCTTCCTCAGCTCCACACTGGGGGGTGGACACAATGATTGTAGTGTTGTCCAGCTTGAACATTCTGGGCATCAGCCCTCAGAGAAGAAGAGTAGAGAGAAAAGGAGAAACAGGAGGAGGAAGATTGGACCTGGAGTGAAGCTGGAAGCCTGCTGTGACAGGAGAAAACCTGCTGCATTTTTGGGCTGCTTACATTATTCTTAACTTGATGCTAAAGGAGTGAACCTGAACACTGGCTGGAGAGTTGAAGTTGGGCCTGGGAAGGAACAGAGAGAGATGACAGCAAAAAAAGGGAGCTTCGACGTCTCCCTTCCTTCTTCACGATCCAGAAAGGGGTCCCACTAAAGGCTTATTCCTGGGGTGCCAGAGGGAGTGGAGGTGCCAGAGGGGGAGGAAATGGCACTCAACCCAGAGTAACAGCCACCTGTGGAAGAAGCGTCTCTGAAGTTGGAGGAAGCAGGGTGAGTAGAACTGATTCCACCCAGAATCTAGCTCACGGCAGAAGATTAATAAACATTGAATGGATAATTGAACAAGGAGGAAAGCACCAGCAGAAGACTTGACCGGAGAAAGATCTGAGCACTGTGTGTTGGCAGCTTCTCTTCACCTTGGCCAATGCCTCTGGGGCCCTTTATGAGGCTGTTCCACCTGCTTCCCTCAGGGCCCTTAGCCCTCCCACCTGTGCTGCATTAACTCTTCCCTGTGCCGCGTTAACTCTTTCCTGTGCTGCCTCCTTGCTCAGTGTGAGACATGGTAACTCAGGAAGTAGAGACGAGGACAAGGAAAGAGACTGATTTATGGGAGTGGAGAGATCTGGGAAAGAAGAACACTTCCTCTGGGAGTTCCTTGCTGACACCCTGAAGTCTAGAGAGAAGACCTTGCTGTATTCTTGGATAGCATCGGTCCCCCTCTATTGTAATTACTTCTCTGCTCTCTCTCTCTAGCAGTGCTTCCTGTTAGCCAACATCTCCACGGCTCAGTGCCTCATATGTAGTTGTCTATGCGTAAATACTGCTTTTAATTATGTGGCAGTACTGATGGCCAGGCAGCATTCGCTGACTAACAGCGGCTCCTACTGTTCCAGGAGACTTCGGGAGCCACGGGGATGAGAAAGGAAGCTATTCACCATCAACCACTGGGTACGATTCTGCTCCAACGACACATATCCTAAATCACACTATGCAAGATAATGTAATAAAAAATGGGGCTTGCGGGAAGGGTGGCATTAGGGTACAACGTTCAAAAACTTTGTCAGTGACACATTTAAAAAAAGGATAGGACCCTAATAAAAATGGTGGCACCGTTTTACACACGTTAACTGGTTAGAAAGTGCATAAATACACCAATAAATATGACACGTTACCTTGAAAAAGACCTGGAGTTTTCCTTGTTAGAGGCAGTGGGTGAATAATGGAGAAGCGGTGGAAGGGGAGACTACGGTAGTCCCCCTTATCTCTGGTTTCGCTTCTGCAGTTTCAATTGCCTGCTGCCCTCAACCACTGTCGGGAAGCAGACAATCCCCTTTCTGATGAATCGTCAGAAGGTCAATCGTAGCCTAACGCTACCTCACAACCCTGCGTCATTCCCCTCACTTCACGTCCTCGCTAGGCATTTTATCCTTTCAAATCATCACGGAAAGAAGGGTGAGTATAATGCAGTAGGATATTTTGAGAGAGGGAGACCACGTTCACATAACTTTTATTACAGCATACTGTTACCATTATTCTTACTATCAGTTACCGTGAGTCTCTTGCTATGCCTGATTTATAAATTACACTTTATCACAGACATGTATGTATAGGAAGACACTGGTACAGGCATACCTCATTTGATTGCACTTTATCTGATTGCGCTTCACAGATAATGTGTTTTTTACAAATTGAAGATTCGTGGCAACCCTGCCTCTAGCAAGTCTGTCGGTGCCATTTTCCCAACAGCACTTGTTCGTGTCTGTGTCACATTTTGGTAAATCTCAAAGTATTTCAAACTTTTTCATTATTGTTATATTTGTTATGTTGCTCTGTGATCAGTGATTACAACTCAATGAAAGCTCAGATGATGGTTAGCATTTTTTAGCAATAAGGTTTTCAAAGATTATTTATTTTAGAGACAGATTGAGCTGGGGTGGGATGGAGGGAGAGGGAGAGAATCTCAAGCAGATTCTCGGCTGGGTGCAGAGCCTGGCATGGGGGCTTGATCTAATGACCCTGAGATCGTGACCTAAGTCAAAATCAAGAGTCAGATGCTTAACAAACTGAATCACCCAGGCGCCCCTAGTAACAGTTTTTAAATTAAGGTACTCACATTTTTTTTTTAAGACAAAATGCTATTGCACACTTAATAGGCTACAGTAGTGTGTAAACATAACCTTTATATGCACCGGGAAACAAAAATTCATTTGACTTGCTTTATTGCTATATTTGCATTATTGCAGTGGTCTGGAACTGAATCGGCAGTATCTCTGAGGTATTCCTGTATATATAGGGTTTGGTACTATCCGAGGTTTCAGTCATCCACTGGGGTCTTGGAATGTATAACCGGCAGATAGCTGGGGACTACTGTAATCTGAAATTGGGTGAAATGTAACACCGGATATGGATGATGTGGTTCATAACCTAAGTGGTGATAGATGTTTCAGGTGTGTGCATGTTGGATTTTCCTTTGCTGCTGTGTTCAGCAGTTTTGAATGCAGTTTTGTGCATTCACCTAGTTCCTGGCAGAGGGAATCACACATAAGATAACATGAAATTCACATTATACTCCGTTCCCCAATGTGTCAATTGGTTGGAACAAATTTGCTTTTCAAAACCAATTTTATAGCGATCTAACTGAATCTCTGTTGTACCTGGCCCTGTACCATATGGTGAGGATACAGTGGCAATAACAAGACCCTGCTGCCCTCAAGGAGCTCACTGTCTAGTGGACACAGTGATGCAAACAGTTATTGGAAGGCTAGAATTGCGTTAATTCAGGTTAGTACAGATATGGTGGGAGCACAGAGAGAGGAGCCTTTCTCTCTTCCTGGGGAGTCAGGGAATTCTCTGAATTAATAGTAATGGCTACATCCTATGGAGTTTCCTATGTGCAGGCACTGCTCTAAGTCCTATTCCTACCACATGCATTTGCGGTAAGTACAATGATTTACCCCATTTTACAGATAAAGAACTAAGGCACAAACTTGTCCAAGGTCACACAGTTAGTAAATAGCAGTTAAATACTAACTGGATCTGGCCCTAGCATTCTTGCTCTTAGCCACTGCTTTAAACACTTCTGCTGATATTTAGCACATGAATAGTTTTCTAAGATATTTGGGCCAAAAGGATCTGTACCTGGGAGGAAAAGTTCAGGTTGTCCTAGGATTACTGAAGAAGGAGAGGAGCACTTGGGAGCTGGGGGGCAGTGGGTGGAGAGCCGTGAAGGGGATGATTGTGAAAAAATGCCCTTGAGTGCCATTACATTCAAACTAATGGGATTTTTGGCTGACATATGCCTGTCCTGGGCACCAACTGTAGAAAAGATTATCCATAAGATAAATCACAGATCCTTTAAGCTCAACCCAATTGAAGTCATTAAGTTCCTGCAAATCTTCTGTATTCTGTGTTGCTCACTGTCTATTAATTCAGGATGTACTGGGGGATATCATTGACTTATCTCTAGAAAAGTTCCTTTGTTGGTTTCCTAGGCCCCAGTCCAACATTATAGAAGCTTTCTGAACACATTTGGGGTCACCTGGCTGGTCTTTCCCTGAGACATTGGGAGGAGTGGATCTGACATTACACCTGTGACCTTGTGGAACTGTATGCCAGAGCCTGCCCCCCAGGGGTGGGATGTCAGCCCTGTAGGGCAGCGAAGGTAGAGTGGGAGGAGGAGGGGGGCTCATTGGACCTCTCAGTTGCTTCTTGACTGGTATGGGAAATAGGGTAAGAGGGCTCTGTTTGGGAATTGACCCTGAATTTCTCACTTCTTTGACTAATGCAGCTACCACCACCATTTGCTATCAAATAGGGTTTCTGGAGATCAGCTTGTGTCCATGTAGGCTTGTTCTGATTTTCTGCTTACAGTGATCAGTGAGCAACAACATGTAGCAGTAAATTACCCATTTATACAATAGATTACAGATTAGAAAATCTTGGGTACTAATGGTGCCACTCAACACTAGATCCTCTTCTAGAAACCTCTTAAGGCAAACTCTCAGTTGGCCAAGTCTCAATTCCCAGTTGAGTATGAGACCCCTCTCTGATCACTAGTACCACAATAGCCCAGGCTTCACTTTCCCTCAGTTTCTGGAGGGATAGAGAGATTCTCTATAAGCCCAAGGTAAGATCAGGTGGCACTCCATATCCTGTGGAGATGTGGATGACATGAAACCACCACACCACTCTGTTTTCTAGGTCTTCTAGCTTCACTTCCCTCCTCCATCCAGTCCTTCCATGAGAATATCTTTAATAATCCATTAAGCTCGGGGGATACTTCCCCGATAGTAGGATAGTGGATATTCTGGCACTAAGGTTGTAAACTTGTGAGGGGAACTGTTCTCCCTATTATAATAGGATCTGGTAGAAGTCAGGTTCTGGTAGGGTTATGGAATAGCTCAGATCTACTTTTTTTTTTTTCTTTAAAGATTTTATTTATTTATTTGACAGAGACACAGAGAGAGAGAGGGAACACAAGCAGGGGGAGTGGGAGAGGGAGAAGCAGGCTCTCTGCTGAACAGGGAGCTTGATGCGGGGCTCGATCCCAGGACCCTGGGATCATGACCTGAGCCAAAGGCAGACGCTTAACCGACTGAGCCACGCAGGCGCCCCTCAGATCTACTTTTTATCAGTTCTCCTGTAATACTGTCTGCTGTCCTTATCCATTTTCCCTTCCTCTGCAGTGGGGTCAGTCCTTTGGGTTGACTCTATCTTTGACCATAGATAGTGGTGACTCTAGTGTTCTCTTGCATGCTGAGGTCGCAGTCCTTGTCTCCCAGGTGACACTGTAAGACAGAAAAATTGGGTTATGATGCTGAACACCCCCCCACCGCATGCCTTAACTTGTCCAATCATTCTTTCCCTTCAATGTGAGCCATGGAAGAGGCATTTTCTGACTAAGTCTCTCTGACCAATAGTGGCTAAGGAGACCAGTGCTGGGTAGTCTTCCAAAGACTTTCCTTGCAGAAGATGAGTAGTTCCCTCCAAAGGTTCTCTAGCATTTAGGAGGGGACTTTGGAACTGACTGCATTTGTTGGGGCCATCTTTTGAGAAATTAATTCCCTAAAGTTCTATTCTGAGGTAATAGGTAGCGCCTTTATCTTTTCCACCATTACCTCCCTTCCTCTAAGCTCACATTGCATGGCTGAGACTCTTACAGCCAAGAAAGTACTAACGTCATCCACGGAATCCAGCAAACATTATTAAGAACTCGTTACATGCCAAACATAGTATTATGAATGGAGAAACACCCTCTCTTGTCATTACATTCACACAGCCACCGAGGCCCACTTCCTTAAGAGCTCATGTATCTGTTTCCTTTCATCCCCACGGCATATGTCCCACTGTATACCCCACAACCTTATTTTAGAATATTGCAGCAGTCTCACAACTGATACCCTTGTTTCTAATATACTTCATTGTACTTTCTTTTTTCGTCATACCTTTATTTGAGAAGTGGGTAATATATATAAAAGTACAAAGAATAACAAATGCACATGTTATCAAGACATCCAGAACTGATCATTATTACCGTTTTGTCCCACTTGCTTTCAGTTCCTTTTTAATCAAGGCAATAAACGTTAAAGATAAAATTAAAGTCTCTTTGATCTCCTATAATGTTTCATTCTCACCTTAGAGACGGTAATTAATCATGAATTTGGTATATCTTTCTAATTCAGTTTTTACTGCTTTTGCTGGTTGGTGCTTTTAAACATTTACATAAATTATTTCCTACTGTATACAGGAAATTATGTTTTGAGTTCTGCTTGTGCAGCTATACAGATCTTTATCATTCCTTTACATTTCTACATAGTTTTATAGCATATGATTATGCCAAATATTATTTATTCATTGGTGGACTTACTGTTTCTGGCTCTTTTGCTATGTATACTGCTATTTAATATTTTTGTACATGCCTCCTTTTTCACATGTATAAAAATTTCTCTATACATCTAGAAGTGGAATATCTGGCTCATGAGATATGCATATTTTCATCTTTAGCAGATTAGTTCTTCAAAATGGTTGTTCTACCTTGTATTCCCACTATCAATTTATGAAAGATCCTGTTTTTTTAACATCCTTGACAACACTTTATATTATCAGACTCTTACCTTTTTGTGAATCTGATTAATTAGAACTATTAGCTCATTATTTTAATTTATATTTTTAATATATTTATTGGTCATTTATATTTATTCTTCTATAAATTGTCTGATCATTTCTTTTGCCCATTTTTCTGTTCAGTTGTCTTCCCCCCCATATATTATTTTGTACACTTTCTCTGTATATTCTAGATACTAATCCTTTGTTTTACATTGGAAATATAACCTTCTAGTCTGTTAATTACCTTTTAATTTTGTTTATGGTGTGACTTGTCTTACAGAAAATTTGAATTTTAAATAAAAAGCACATATAGGCCATGTACTTTTGTGTATTATTTAATAAATTCTTTCCTACCCTGAGATTATAAAGATATTATCCATTTTATGGTGTTTAGATATTTTTATGTTTAATTCTTTTAATCTATCTGAAATTTATTTTTGTGTGTATGACATGAGACCAGGATCTAGTTTTAGTTCTTTGTTTTTCTTAAAAGGAAACTTAGTTCTTCCAGTACTTTTCTGCAATGATATACAATTATTACACACTAAGTTCCTGTATATAATAGATTTAATCTAGGCTATGTCTTTATTACATTAATGTTATTTGCTAATTCCTCACCAGTAATAATTACTATAATTGTCTTTATATCTGGCAGGCAAGTCACTCTTT